TTTAGTGAGATTAAAAGTTTACTTGTTCTTATCTTCTTTTATATATATATATATACATAATCAAATTAATATGTTGAAGTAATAAAAAAAAATAAAAGTAGTCGTACTTTCTTATACTCATCATAACATATTGGACATTTTGGTTTAGATGAATTTTACAGTAAAAGATGTGAGTATATATTGTATAAAAATAAGTTAGCATTAATTCGATAGTATCTAATCTCTATAATAATTGTTTTGTATTTGACGTAAGTATTTATTTTGAATATATTATCAATACCTTTTAATCGAGAAATAGCATCTCAATACTATAAATCATTTGGATTATCAATGTTTGGTGGCTTCCATCAGCGTATTATTCATATCTTAATTGTCATATTTTCCTTCATTGGAGTTATGTTTTTAATGAACTCATATTGTTGTGCAGTGCATGATTAAAAACGTTAATACCGAATAATCATAATAATTGACATCAATATGATCGAGCAAATTTAAATTGTTAATTGAAATGTGGAAGACAAATATTTTCATACCTTCAAATACATAAGACACACAATGTTGAAAAAAGTTGCAACATTTAAATATATATTAGCAAATGCTCCACATGATCACCGTGCATTAGATAAAGTTTCATATTTAAATATATATTAGCAAATGCTCCACATGATCACTGTGCATTAGATAAAGTTTCATATTCATAGTATAATTATTGCTTTTTTTTATTATTATTATTTACACTTATCCTCACAAACTTTAACTAATGGATGTTATCTAATTATCTAATAGTGTATAATACTTGAATTTAGAACAATATACAATTTGATAGATAGCTACGTAATTATAGGCAACCAACACCAAAACAAACTTTATCTAATGCAATTTGTTATGCAATTTGATACAACCGTATTTATAGTTTATAATATGCATCTATCTATCTATTATCTTATTTAATACAATATTTATAATTTGATGCAACTTGTATAAAACAAAATGGCGGGAAAATTTTTAATGTGGAAGTGACACGTAGGACAGAGAGGGGGGTGTATAATGTCAGCAAACTTTTGTTTTAGTAATAGTTAATAGATACCCGTAGTAGCTAGATTGGACTAATGCCATATTGCCACTTTATAATAATCAAGAAGTGTGACTAAAAATTATAAATGCCCCCCCCCCTTCCCCATAAAGCCGAAAGTAGGCCTATACTGTATATCATTCATACGAAGTATGTCCTACTAATTTACTTTTGTCATTGATTGCTAACAATTAGTAAGCAAAGACATATTCGTAACTAAGAAGTCTAATTTGTCCAATTAAGTATAGAATGGTCAAAGGGTCTGTTCTTATTTACTGAACTGAGCTGAACTGAACTGAAATTAAGCTGAATAAAACATGCCCTAAGCATACTCCATCGATTTTTAATTGGTGACAAATTTTTTTTGAAAATTGATCATATATGAAAAACTTGTTTGGTTGTTGGTTATCTCACCTAGTAACTAGTTTAACCATTTGGATTTAAATAGATGTTTTTATTGGTTGTTTACAAAAAATGTTTGATAAAATGATATACTAACTATTTATGTGTTCCAACTTCCAACACAACTACTCGTAAAAAGTAGTGTTAAAAAAAAATCCGAAACATTGGGTTAGGATATATTATGACCCAACCCGAAATGACTCGTGACTCAAAGTGACCCGACCTGACCCGATCGATCCGATTGACAGGTCTAGGCGCAAGTAAAATAAAATCAATGATATGGGTTTGCCGATTTGGGTGATTTTTGTTGACACTTTTATTAGGTCAAATGACGCAATTAAAATAAACTGATTCAGGATTTGTTTAATTACAAATTTACAACATTTCTCCTGCCGTATCTAAACCCTAAACCCCTAAAATCCTCACTTCTTCTCACCGGCAATTCGACACTGCCTAACAGTCTTCCGGTAAGCCAATATTGATCACAATTTCACCCCTTTATTTTTATTTTTTTTTAATTTTCTTTTTATAACTTACTACTGCCTAGTAATCAGTAATTCTAGATTTGGAAATTTATATTGATTTTTTTAACTTCTCATGTATGAATTGCCATAATTAACTAGCATTTTGGCCCGTTCAATGCACGAGTTATAATATAGGTTATTTTTATATAAATGTATGTTTTTCAATAGTTGAAACTCCAAAGTTATTGTTACATGACTTTAAAAGTAAATGTTGTGAGAACTTTTTTTTTTGGTTAAGTATATATAATTGAGAAAGAAAAATTAATTTAGTTAAGTATATATACTCCAAAGGAGTACATGAATATTGTAGAATATAAAATGACATATTAGTTTAAGCTATATTTTAAGTTTAAGAGATAAGACTATTTTTATTATACTTCATATGTTTATGTAATAGTTAATTCAACTTTATTCTATCATGATAGAAATTAAACACTTCATTTTCTTACTTAAATGTGCAAGACTTTAACATTATGTAATATTTTTAAGGGAAATTCTCAATGGTAGCCCTCTATTTTTGCTTATTTTCAATGGTAGCCAATTTTTATTTCGATTATCTTTGGTAGCCATATACTTTTATAAATTTTCAATCGTAGCCTTATTAAGTCTAAATCCGTTAAATAACCGTTAACTTTAACCACGGTTAACCTTATATCTCTATTTAACCATATTCTTTATCATTCCCTTATCTTTGATGGCTGCCAGGCACCTGCCACCGTGCACTAACCCCAAATCCCTCCACCAGCAACACCTTCCACAGCAAAAAAAACCACCCCCTCTCCATCCCCTCCACCGCAACCTCCCCCAAAATCGGCCATCGCCAACCCCAAACCCCACTCAAAATACCCTCCACCCACAAAAACCACAACCCACCAAAACCTCACCCACGAAAAATCCCCCCACGAAACCAGCTGGCCACCCACCAAGACCCTACCCAAGAAACCCCCAACCCACAAAAACAACATCCGCCAAAACCCCACCCATGAAAAATACTCCCTTTCCCACGAAACCGATCACCCATCAAGACCTCACCCAAGAATCGGTTTTAGTGCTTGAATTAGGGTGTGGCTTTGATGTTCAATTATCCAATAATGGTGCTAATCCATGAGGAGTAGAGAATCAAGAACTCTAATTTTTTTTTGAAGAGGAACTCAGGAAAGAGGGGAATGAAAATGGAGGGGGATTACTCTGGGTACTAACTACAAGCATTACATTTTTTTTTTTTTAAAGTTAACCTTAGTTTTTTAGTCATGTTTGATTTAACTGAATTTTAACGAAAAAAATATCATTAAGGTTACGGTTGAGAATTTATAAAAGTATATGGCTACCAAAGATAATCGAAATAAAAATTGGCTACCATTGGAAATAAGCAAAAACAGAGGGCTACCATTGAGAATTTCCCTATTTTTAATTTAATATTTTTAATATTGAAAAGGTAAGGGAAGTAACATTTGCATATGAGTGAGTTGTGAGGACATGTGGCATACGAATAAGTTGTGAGGACATGTGGCATATGAATGATTGTGGTTTGAGTTTTTAAATACTATGTATAGATTTGATTTTAGATTGATCAAAAGGATAATTTTGATGGGATTTTTTTTTTTTTTTTTTTTTTTTTTTTTTGGTAGCACTTAATTCTTACTGATCGATAATATGATACTTTTTCAATTTTTTGTCGATATTGATTAATTATTTAATCCTAAATACTGTAGTTGTTATGATTTTGTAGTTGCTAGTATGTGTGATCAACTATTTAAGGATAGTTTAATCACTATTCTTCTAGTTAGTGATGAACGGATGATGATGTGATGTACAAGAATGCTTTAAAGTTGAAAAATTGTACTCCCTCCGTCCCCTTTTAATATTGCTTATGGACATTTTTCACGGGAATTAATAAACACAAATAAGAATAGTAAAAGTACATTGAAAAAGTAAATTGGCAACAAAAAAAATAGAGAGCGAAAGTAACAAAAGTACATGAAAAAGTTAAACTTGCACAAATATTGTTGCAAATTGGAGGGAATTTTAGTTGGTCTTATATTGGAACTAGTCCGATTATTGGTCAAAGATTTAGTTCTATGATTGAGACATTCCAAATGGATAAAATAAAATAAAATGGGGGGAGTATAAAAGTGAGTTAGAGTCTAATCTTCACCTAATTAACTTATTTTTAGATAAGTTCAGTTTAGGAAAAAATAAGTTTTAATAAGGGTTATCCAAGTATAGATGACAACTAAAATAAGTTTTAAAAAGATTTAAAATTAAATAAGTGATAATCAGATGATTAGAATACACCTTTACTGATGTATGCATTTTAATTAAGACCTTAAACCTTCTGCTGATAATGTACTCCCTTTTTTTTATATAAGCTAGAGATGAGATTGTGTGGAGTTTTAGGAGATTTGATAAAATGAGATGATAGTAGAGTAGATAAGGTTATTATTTTATTCTTGTCAAAAAAAAAAAAAAAAAAATTATTGAAAAGTAAAGTGGTGTGAGAGGGAGTATGGACCATTAAAGGAGTGGAAAAAGATAAAGTAAGAAAGAGTGAAGATATTAGTTGGTTAAGATATTTTATGAAATTGTAAGAGATATCCAAAAATAGAACTTTAGTTTATAAAAAAAAAAGGTCGAAAATAGTAACTCTAGCTTATAAAAAAAGTAAAGTGAGCATAAATAATGTATTCGTACAAGTGTTCTAGCTTGATGAAAGTTGTAATCTTGTAATAGAGTTTGTTTTGCATCGTTTTTCGTTTTTAGTTTTTAGGTTTTATAAAAACAAAACACCAAAAGAAAAAAAAAAACAATGAAAAAAATGTTTTTCCTTTTTGTTATCAGTTTTAACAATCATCATTATATTAATAAGTATAATTAATTATTGATTCATTATATGTACTATTCTCTAATATGTTCGTTCTGTGGTGACTGGTGAGTGGTGGAACTTGGGAAGTTAGAATGCTTGTTGAAGATTATGTATTGTGTTCTTTCTCTAATTTCTTGTTTTAGAATCACAAAAAGTGGAACGAAAGTACAATGTAGAATAAAGTAACTTTGTTCAAACTTTTGGTATAGAAAAATTTTGATCTTTGATCAACTTTTACAGGTTTTTGAAAGTGTAGTAACTCCGATTAATTTTAGCTTGGGAACCTGACCAATACCCATGTTTAACCAATATGCACTGGTTATGTTTGTACTTGTGTATGGTTTAACCTCTAATATCGGTTAATTTTGAGTTTAGTGAGATCAAATGGAAGCAAGGTATTTCCGAATTCTAAGGCTATTAGGATTTGGTTACAAAGCCAGAGCTGAAGCAGATGGTCGCCTCTTGTGCCTAAAACTGGGTTACAGCCATGAAGTTGAGTTGCCAGTTCCGCCTGATGTTCGTGTGTTTTGCTTTAAACCTGACATAATCTGCTGTGCTGGAATCGACAAGGCAAGAACGCATCAGTTTGCTGCTGCTGTTAGGAGTGTTAAGCCACATGAAACATACAAAGAAGAAGGTATACGTTACAAGGATGAAGTCATAAAGTTGAAGGGGCCTTCTCTCAGGTGGCCTGCTCTCAGTTAAAGACAAAGATCCGCTTGATTTCCGATCACAAGTTTGTAGAACAGGCTGTTTCCACTTTGTAGCTCTTCATTTTGCATTTGAATTGATTTCTAATCTTCAAATTTTCGTTTAAAACTAGATTCTATGCCAGCAGTCTAAAAGAGAGAAACTTGCTACTTCTGGACCTCATGTCTAAGATTTATGACCAAAACGACAAGGCGGCATGATATGAACCTAGTTTTAGCAACAATGTACTCACTATCAATTTATGTCTATAATTATGGTTATAAAATGGCATCTCAAGCTAGCCAAAAAATCATCATTTACAACTCAAAATAGCCAAAAAAATTATACTTGTATGAAGAATTATATATCTGACCGCGTTTTGTAAGCCACACCATATGGCCGGACAAAGTAACCCCTATAACAGTACTAATAGAGTAAGGGCTTGTTCTCATTGACTGAACTCAGCTGAGCTGTACTGAACTTATTAGAGTTGAATTGATTTGAACTGAAATGAATATTTTATAAGAGAAGGAAATTAGGAGCTGAACTGAACTTATTAGAGCTGAACTGAACTGAAAATATACGTATGAGAACATGCCCTAACCCGTATAATACCGACCAAGTAACACAAATTAGATGTTTTTATTGGTTGTTTACAAAAAATGTTCGACAAAATGAGATACTAACGATTTATGTGTTCCAACACAACTACTCGTAAAAAGCAGCGTTAAAAAAAAACTGATAATCTCTTTCAAAATGGATGAAAAATCATGCGGAGTAATACCAATCATACGCTTTTTTTGTTGTTTGAACTCATGAAAAACCCAAAAAATCAAACTAAGGTATAATAGAGACCCTTCAAGACAGTCGCACATACCAGTATAATTAAGGCCAAAAAAGTACTCAAATTTACTAATGTTACCCATTATGCAATTGAATAAGATCTGCACAGAGAGAAAGTTATGCAACTCAACAGAAATGTACACTACTTTCAAAACAAAAAAAGCAAAGATTTTAGTCTGAGAAATTTTTATAAATAGTCGTAGGACTTGGTGACTTGAAATTTTATGGTTAATATGCTGAACAATTGAACATAGCAAAATAGATTAGACGAAAATAAAACATTCAACATAAATCATGAGTTCACCTTTAGCATGTAACACAGCTACGGCCAACAACATAAACCTTAGTTTGAAGCTGTGTTCCAAGCTGCGTTAAATTGCTAGCAATAATAGAAACCAGAAACACGTTCATTCTGTAATTTCTTTGGCAAACAAGCAGTAATCAGTTCATCCAATACTTCAAACCGGAAAACTATTTATGATTGATGTTGGAAAAAAGATGTAAATTTCAGAATACAGAAAAGAACCTTAGTGCCAAAGAATTATGTATGCTACAAGCAGTTGAAGATGACTTAGTTGGGCCTACTTATTCAGGTACTAATAGCAACCAGATAGCACCAGCCATAATCACAGGAATGTAACAAAAAAACTCATGCTTGATTTTGCACTTCAGCATTACTGCTTCCTGGAGTCCTCTCGGGTAGTAAACCTAACATAGAGCTCGTAGATACAGCCTACAAGCAAGACAGCAAAAGGCACTTTTAGGTTAGAGCGCAAGATGAAGCCAGACCAGCAAACTCCAATGACAGCATCACATTAACTCGCAAGAAGACCAGGAAAATGACTTTTTGACAGATATTTGAGAGTTCCTTTCAGTTGGTAAGAATGGTCCCTGATTTACATATAACTACTCGGAAATGCACAAAAATCCTAGGGAAGGGAAGCCTAAAAGAACCAAGCGCCTAAATAAGCAAGAAGCAGAACATAAAAGTGAGTGTTCAGATGCCATTATCCAGAGTGGCGATTTCATCATTCCAAAAGTTTGCATTGCCACCAACTCTATTTACAAGAGCAAGGGTACCATAATTAATCAATTATCTAGTCAAAACTCAACCCAATCCTATCTCCTAAGCCAATAGTCTAATAGTAACATTAATTTAGAAGTAATAATGATTAAAAAGATGACACAAGTTAAAAGGTCATAGTGGACTATATTGTTTTAATAACTTTCAAGTGTTTACAAGCTCTGAAGCTCATTAATAAAAGTCTTCGTCTTCTGATTTTACCAGTTTAAAATTAAGAACAATTGTTCTAAAACAGATTATAACAATCAGGGAGGGGAAAATTTCAGGTGCAAGTGAAACAATAGCAATCTTAACAACACGGAAACAGCCACATGGCTTTGCAGCATAAGATTTAATACAGTCAGCCAGTTAACACACTCATTCAGATTTCAGATAGTAAGTAGTGCACAAGTCATTGTTGCTTATCCAACATTATTTGTCACAGGCTCACAGCAGCTTACCACTGCCCCCCCCCCCCCCCCCCCCCCCCCCCCCCCCCCCCCCCAAATAAAAAAAAAATAGTAATAAAAATAATATAAAGACCAAAATAAAGGAAGAAAGAAAGGAAAAATCCCAAATAAAACAACAGCACGTCTCAAAGTACTTGTAGAAAGCAGAAGAATACCAGCCATAACAACGATCGTGAGAACATCTCCTGCTTTTTTAATTCTCTTTACAGTCTGTGTACTCGACTTGAACCGGCTCAATGCTGGGTCCTTTTCCAAGAGCTGTGAGGAGATTAGATAACTAAATCAGTATGCAACAGAAAATAAATGCTCTAAAGTTCTTCAGCAAATTATAATGGATATTCAATCCTTCTAGCCATAAAACTTCTACAAATAAAATGTTGTAGATTAATACCTTCTAGCATATCAAGTTGATGTGTTATGAAAAAAGCATAGTTGTAAACAGGCTTTTTTTTTTCCGTCGACATTGAAAATAAATAAATAAAAAAAAAAACTAACAAACTATGGCATAAGTTAGGTCACTAATCAGCAACTGACAAACACAAATTCAAATGACACTCAAGAAAAAATAAAAACTAAGCACAAGAAGCAGAATTTTGGAAACTATTGAGCGTCAAACAATCTATTAAATTTGTGCCTGATTTCTTTTCCAACAAAGCTAGATTAGTTGTTTTAGTAAGTTTTGAGATACTCGAAACAGTTTCCTAAGGTGTCATTGTCATATAAATAGGCAAATATAGGATTGACATGAAAATAACTGCATAAACAAGACAAACTGTGAGACTTGATCAAAGATAATTTACATCAGTGCCAGTAAACCTGCTATTCTAGTTAACGACAAGGTCACAAACCAATAACAAGTCAAACACCATGATAGTGTATAAGGTAAATCAAAATTTTCCTCTAAAGCAAATTATAAATCATATATAAAAGTCATTCTATAACATTAATGCAATAGTAAGTGTAAATTAAGATATCAATTTAATATGAAGTATTATACATCCCTACTTTCTTTTAGTTATTCCATTTTAAAAGTGCACATTTGCCAATACACAACTTTCCCCTTTAATATCAACTTTGTTGCTAACTCCCAATTAGTACAAATTATAAAAAGTTGATTTTATAAAAATATACGTTCAGTAACTAACAAGATCCAACATGACTAATTTCTATGTACTTCATAGATAACTAATTAATGATGGTCAAAGTGAAGTATGTAAATTGTGTCAAAAAGTAGGTCACGTAGTACTATCAATGGAATAGCCATTTCAAAATCAAAGACATATATAAATCCTAGTCCACAATTCCAATTGTAGTTTCCGACTTTCCGCTAGATACAACTTACTCTTGAGTCCAGTCTTGAGACTCTTGACAAGTACTTCATATAAGAATTGTTAATTGAGTTAAATTTGGATGAGGGGGAGGGTTAGATATTATTCTAAGGGCAGGATTACTGCCTTGATTTTTAAAAAGAGAGCCTCAAGAGCCAAGACACCTTTCATGGAGTCACTTAACTCTAGAGTCTGGACCATATTAGGTAAGGGCATCAAGAAGAATCATGTGAACCAAATCAAACGCTTCTGTTATTCTCCGTTTCCTGGTCCATATTAAATATAGATTGCTAATTGAGGTAAAGAACTACAATTCAGCAACATGATAGCAAGTTAGTGTTTCATAATGGACAAAATGTTGTCAAACTATTTAAAAGTATACTAGTGAAACCTTTATGCCTAGAGTCAATGATCCATGCACCTATGCCTCACACCTTGCGCCTTAAAATTGACATAAAGATCCTTTGAGCTCTAGTCACCAGTATATGTCGTGCCTTTTAAATCAAGCTTATCATTGCTTATGATGCTAATTGAATTGGCTGAAACTTGGTAATGATCTTTATGTTTGATGATCTTAGTGTTTGAGTTTCTCAAGCACCATTGACTACAGCGAAGCAAAGGATGTAGAAGCTTGGGTTAGCCTTACATAAAAGGTAAAATCTAATGAACCCGCCATCTAGGGCGTTGAATGGAAAGGTCTGTTCAGAATTTTTTTGGATACCGGAGTGTTAGAGTGTTGGACATACCATGGAACAAACAAACAAGCAAGCATGGCTGTCTCTACAGGTTCAAAACACCAATTATGCAAGTACATTCCTAAATAATGGTACTGTCAAATAAGAGTATGAGACATATCAATTTACTAATATCACTAATTTTCCAAAACCTAATTTTCCGTATCCTCGTCAAACCCTCCAATAAACATCTATGATGTAACCAATTTTATATCCATGCTATACTGTTAAAAATCAATAATTGTAACTAAAACCCAATTCAATTCAATTCGAGATTCTACAATCAATAGCTCCAAATAATACCCAATTCAATCAATTTCACACAGCAGCAACTCAGCAAGAAGCTTATTAGACCTGATCAATCAAAATTTCTAACCAATTATTAATTTCATAAAATGATCCACGAATCTGAAGAAATAACAATATTGATTCAAAATCAAAGAGAGAGAGAGACATACAGCTTTCTCACGCTCGCCGAGGTCGATGTGGAATTTCCGGCTTGGCTGCGCGAACAAACTCTCTTTCCCCTAATTTCCAGAAAAGTTATTTGCAATGAAGATTATGAATCGCTCAACCCATGAATTGCATTTGATATACATGAAAAACTAGGAAAGAAGAGAAGGATTGAATCGTAGATTACCTGAGGATGAGATCGCAGATGAGAGAGAACTGAAGATTTGAGAAAGGACGCCATTGATGTAGTTGAGCTTAAAGCTTCTTCTGGAAATCGTAGAGATGATGAAGGAGGAGTTGGTGAAAGTTTTCAATTTGTTCTTCTTTTTGTTCGGTTCATAAATTATTACTCACTCGAGTCAGTCTGCCCCGTTGTTGGCCCTGGATTTATTACGATTTACGAGTACTTATTCAACTACGAGTTGGAATTATTAGAAGTTAATCGCTCCACACAACATCATCAGCGAGACAGCAACATAAGAATTGAAACGATTTTAACTAGTATTTACAAGAAATAATTTATTTTTTTCTTTTATTGGTGTTTAGAGAGCCACAAGTCCAAGTGATGAAAATCGATCCCAGGATCACTTAGAGCCTGGAGGCTGGAGGGGAGCTCTAACTACTTGAGTTATACCTCATTCTCACAAGAATAATTTTCTAGCATTGATAAAAGTTAATTAGGTAAATGGTGTTAAAACTCAAAAGTCTCAAGCAAGCACTTTAAGAACATTGAAGGATTATTAGGAAGTGTAAAGTTTAAGGGGCCGTTTGGTTCACCCGGGGTAAACGGAATGGAATGAACAAAGGGAATGGAAGAGAATGGAACGATGGAATGAAAATACCCAATATTCTCTATGTTGTTTGGTTTAAAAACAAAGGGAATCAATCCCAACAGCCCACCACCCCACAACCACCTAATTCATTCACTTTCCACCTTTTCTAGCCACCATCCATCCACCAAACCACCAGATGGACCTTCGCCGCACTTCGCTGGTCGCGCGCATCTCTCTCTTCCCCGAAATCAACCCCGAAAAACCCATTTTCTCTGTCCTCCAAATACCTCCACGAATCCTCTCTGCTGCATTGCTCTTGTTTTCCTTTGATCGTGACAAACCACCCACCGGAATTTCAACAAGAAACCGTCGAAAATCAGGTTTGAATGCCTTAAAAACAAAAATCACACTCAAATCACCGGCAACAATGGTGGAATCGATCTGGGTTTTTCACGGCATAGTTACTTTGCTCAAGTATCGAGGGGAGGGCTTTTTGGGCGGCGAGGGGAAGGGAGTGTAGATCGGTGGGCGATGAGGGGAGGGGAAGGGGCTGCGAGGGGAGGGGAAGGGGCGGTGGTGGCTAGGGAAAGGGAATGGAAAAGTCTAGGGGGGTGGGGAATGAAGTTGGAAGGATTTGGGGTAATGGAAAGGGTAAAGGGAATGATTAAAAGTGCTTAGCAAACAACAAAGGGAATCGGGACAGTTGATTCTCATTCCTTTTTCTGAATACCCCCAACCAAACGGCCCCTAAATATATTCGGATAAGAGTTGTGCATAGAGATCAAATTTTAATACGGGCATGAGCATAACGAGCCGACTTGCTCAATTTTAACCAATTAATAAACATCTAAGCATTATTCAAGGGACTTCCTGACACGGCATGACTTAACATGTGTGTTAGCGTTGTACGCCTATGCATCATAAACCTTGTGTATGGAAGCATAGGAAAAGCTTAGTTGATGCCTAAAAGGGCCATGGCCCTAGCGGTGTTTCTCTTACTAATGCTTTGTCCTATTTGCACTAATTGAAGTAGCAAGGATGCATATTAGACCTGTCCCCCTCCTCAATCGCTCAATCGCGCTTATTACATCGGGCCCCCTCCTCAATGAAGTCTGACTTTACCCCTATATGGAAGGCTGACACTAATCTAATACCGCACAACTTTTTCTTAGCCAATTTCAAGGCTAATATGCTCAAATTAAGGCTCGGTGACACAATACATGAGCCAAATCAGCCTTGGCGCATGACCTCCTTTTAATTGGGCCCTTGGCACACAAACTGTTTACATGGATCAATTGTTGCCACGTTACACAACCATAGGCAGCAGCAAAAAAAAAAAAAAAAAAAGTTTCATAAAATCAATTCATACACCATAACAATATTCACACACCATCAAAGATCCCCCGAAAAATCAGTTTTTCCCTACACAAATCTCAAAAATGGCGCTGAGAAATGCAATTTCCATAGGAAGAAGACGAGCAAACCCAGTATTACATACATCAGCAGCAATTTTTGCAACTTCAAAGACTCCCTCTCATTTCCAACGTTCATTTCCTTTTCAACAAACCAATCCTGGTATAATGCTATTTCATTTGTAAACTTGATTTTGGAATGAATTTGATCATTACCCATGAAATTACATTGTAAATTCTAACAGAAATGATTGTTTTGATGGATAATTTAAAGCTTTTCGACATTCGATTCGTGCTATTCAAGATACAACATTGAACCCAGTAACACCCAACAAAGATGAAGAAAAGAAGCAAGATTATGATCAAAATTGGAAAATTAAAATGCTGTATGATGGAGATTGCCCACTTTGTATGAGGGAGGTATAAATAAAATTTATTCCATCAATTTTTTTTATTTATTTTTTATTTTTTAATATAGAATTATGATGACTTGAATTGAATGATTAGGTGAATATGTTGAGAGAAAGGGATAAAAAATATGGAGCTATCAAGTTTGTTGATATAGGTTCTGAAGATTACTCACCTGAAGAAAATCAAGGCCTTGATTACAATACTGTAATTTCTTCATTCCCCCTTGATTACAAAAGTTTTCCTTTAAGTAATTGAATGTGATTTACATCATGCTCTCGAGTGTAGGATATAAACGCTAATCTTTATTTACGGAAATTGCAATAAATACTCGAAAGTAACTGATGTTATGTTGTTTTTCTTGCTGTCTTACAAAGGTTATGGGTAAAATTCATGCCATTCTTGCTGATGGAACTGTAGTAACCAATGTTGAGGTACTTTACTATGGCTAATTAATAATCAATGATGTCTGAAGTATGATTTGGTATGGCACATTTTACTAACATAGAAACTCACTGATAAAATTGACTGCAGGCTTTCAGGAAACTGTATGAGGCTGTTGGCCTTGGATGGGTTTACGCAATCACGAAATTTGAGCCTGTAAGTCCTCTGCATCATCTTTTCTCAGTACATCAGACTTTATACTTTTACATATTGTGTTAATGCTGTTGGGAATCATTTCTTGCTCAGGTTGCAACTGTAGCAGAAGCAGTTTACGGTGTATGGGCAAAATACCGTCTTCAGATAACAGGTAATTCATACTAACCTCTCCAAGAGTGTTTTATAAGACCTAATTTTCATAATTCTTTACATTACAGTAATATATACTCCATATTTGTAATTTCAGGCAGGCCGCCTATAGAAGAGATCCTTGCATCAAGAAGGAAGAAGGTATACTCTGCAGCCAGATAAATGCTTTGAATTTAATAGCCTTTTCATTATAGTACTCCATATCTTAAATGCAAACGCTTTATCAATTTATCTTGCATTTTTTATAGTTCAGTATTCACATCCCAATATAATATTTGAGAAAATCCTACAAGTTTATGCCATCTGAAGCTATAAACATCATAAAATGTCGAACTTACTGCCTTTGCGTGTGTGGGTGTGTGTGTTTTGACAATCACTTCTATTTTTGTAAGCTGTCTTGTTTAAGTAGCTCTTATGGTATCTGATTTCCTGCTAAATTAAAGTAGATTTATTCAAATTCTGCACCCCGTAACTAGACTAACTTCTTTTCCCTACAGGTGAAATGTGTAATGACAGCAAATCTTGCAAAATGTAAAGATTCCAAGAGCTTGAGGAATGATCAGGATGTCTAAACAACACTTACCACTGACAATCCTTGCAGTCAAAAGCAGTGAAGCACCCCACTGTATATTTTATACTTATGAAAGTAGCTCATGTATACATAAAGAAAGCTCTATATTGTAGATTCAGATGAAACATGAATCCATATTGTACAACTAATATGGCATATTCGAAGTACACATTAATTATTTACTCTCTACTTATAGCTTTGTGCTGCTTTTTTTTTCTGCAGCGTCTGCAAGAACTTGTCTATATTTGACTCAGAACTACCACCTTTGCTTACTGTCCTAGCAGCTTGCTTACACCAGCTACAAGAATTTTTCTTTATTTCTTCGCTGCTCAACCCTGCTATAACCTCCCTTACACTTCTCTCTATTTCTTCCCGACTTACAATGCCTTCACTACCCTTTTTAGCTCTCACTCCCACTTTCCAAACGTCCTCCATCATCTTCGCATTCATAGGCTGGTCACTCCATTGAGGGATCGCTAGCATAGGCACACCAAGACTCAGGCCCTCCAACATTGAGTTCCACCCACAGTGTGTGATGAAACAGCATATGGCTGGATGGGCTAGCACCTCTAACTGATTGCACCATGATACAACTACTCCAATTTCATCGTTGAGTGATGAGAGAAACTCGGGAGGTAGCTTCGTATCTGATTCCCTGAAAACCCAAAGGAAAGGGCTTTCCAAGTTTTTCAAACCCCAGGCTATTTCTTCTACCTGTTTTCCTGGTACCTCTGCCATGCTTCCAAAGGAGATGTAAATTACTGAGTTAGAGGGTTTTGTGTCTAGCCATCTTAAGCAGTTTTCTGTGGCTTGATTCCAGAGACTTCCTCCATATTCTCTGTCCTCCATTTGTTGTCCAAGGTATGCAGATGGCAACATCGGTCCAACCATCATCAATGGCCATTTCTCTGACATCGCCTTTTCTATCTAGAAACAAGGAACCAAAAAAACAGAGAAGTGAATTGGAAACTCTTAACTTCTGCAGACTGCAGTATCAACTACTCTACCTTGTAAATTCTACGATATTGATACCAATCTAGCAAGTCAGATGTCATTGTTTCAGCTAGAATCTACAGCTCAATCTTTCGACTTCATAAGATAATAACTAAGATTGATAATTTAACCTCTTCTTCAAAATTAGTCATGTTTAGATCAGGTTATTACTTCATTTGATCCCAAATTACTGGAACTTTTTCGATCCTCTTTTACCACTGTTAAGAAACCTCACTTCATCTCATTATCACATTTGCTTACTTAAAAAAAGTATTTCTGATAGTTGGATCGAATTACAGTACAGTACTACAGTAGACTACATTATCACAGGCATACCTCGGTTTCCAGTTCTGCAAATGTATTGATAAAAACCCAATCATTTTCCTCCAGAGTAGAAAATTGTTCCATGATTGATCCAAGATACCCGGAAAACTCCAAAGGGTGCGCGATGAAACTAGGCAAGTCAGAAGGCTGAAGATCAGGAAGTCCCGGCAAAACCAGAGGAAAACTATTAGGTGTCAGAGGCAGAGAAAGAAGATCATGATGAAGGTACCAATACAAGGAGCAAACAGAAGCAGAATTAGTCAAAAAAGCAGCTTTACAAACTCCCATTTCCTTAGCCACATCAAGTGCCCAAGGCAGTAAAGAATCGTAAACTAAACAGTCAACAGGATAACAGGAGTTACTGAACTTCTGAATCAACTCAGTAAGTGACTTTGAACCTATGACTTTGAAAGAGTTTAAGTAGGCTTGTAGACTTGAAGCTTGCTTGAACCCACCTTCATCGAAACCATCAGAAATGGGCTCAATGGTTATACCAGGGGCTTGGATGGCGGAGGCAGTGTAACGAGTGGTTGCAAAGGTGGCTTTGATTCCTTTCAAGGCCATAAGCTTGGTGAATTGTAGAAGGGGGTTTATGTGGCCTTGTGCTGGGTATGTTAGTACCATGACATGCCTTGAAGTTTCACCCTCCATTTCTATGCTGTTTTATTTGACAGTATGAGTTTGTTACTTTTCTTCTTGATCACTAGTAGTCCAGTACCAGTCATGTATTTTATCTAAAGCACCAAACTTTAGCTCAATTATTTCAACACTTTCTTTAACTTGACTTTTCTTTTTCCTTTCCTTTTCTTTTCTTATATTTTTGTCTGATAACCAGTCAAATGTGTTATTCTTGATGCTGATGGATAATGAATTCACTGATGCAGGCCATTCGTGACTATGATGTGTACTCTCTCGGTCTCTAAATAAAAGTCTCATTCGCTTTTTTACACAAAACTTTAGGAGGAAAAATACTCCCATAGATTGAATGAAGAAAAAAAAAAGATAAGGTCTAGATTAAAGGTGATTACAAAAGCAAGATATATATATTAGTGAATAATTGTTAATAAAAATGAACATATATTACCTCCGTTTCATATTTTTTTGCAACTTCTACCAAAAATGAATACTACACATTATTTGCAACTAATGTGATCTTTCTTTTTAAGGTTGTCATTTCTCACTATCTCTCTCTTCATCACATGCGTTCCTATTTTTCTCTCTCTATCTTACACTCACAAACAAATTTTGCCTAAGACTCCGTACACCCTTCAAAGTCGCAAGAAATGTGAAATAGAGGTCGCCAAGGTGAATTATCCGTTTAAAAAAATAAATAAAAAAAAGAAAAAGAAAAAAAGCCTTGGTGAGTTAAAAATGAATTGTAGAAAATGAAAAGCTAGTACCATATGATCAAAATAAGGATATGCAGCTATTCAAAAAAAAAAAAAAGGATATGCAGCAATTATTTAATTTCTCATTAGATTGCGAGCCTCTACTTAAACATAAAGTTTAGCGGGCTCTATTGGTCGCAGAAATGATTCTATACAGGCACCAAGTTCAAAAGATTTTGACTTCAATTGATGAAAACCATTCACAAGACCTAATTTAGTAACCTACTTTCTCAGAATAAGGGCTTTAATATTTACATAAACCCACATTCTCAAAAGTAAAAGAAAAAACTACCTTAATCACCAAGTCATCCATTGTCCCGACCACTCACGAGTTGATACACAACATTCACCTTACCCGATCAGGCTTGATTCATAAGTTCTAATTGTGTTGCTTCGCAATTAGAGAACTGATGACGTGATATTCCTGCACCGTCTAATTACTCCAAAGGTATCTCTCAAGAATCGCCTAAATTTACAGGTGATATATACAGCCAATAGTCTCATACCTCTCACATTATGAAAGCACGTGCCTGAAGGCAACTTCTAGCTCCTATATCTGCAATCTCCAGCCAAAAAATGAAAAACCTAGCGATATTTTTGTATCCTGGGGCAAGGTGCTCGTCTAACAAGCCATCTTAGAACACTTGAAACAACTTTCCACCTTCTGTAAGCTTGTCCCCTAACAGCTTGACTAGAAGGACGAGACCTTAAGAAACCACTATATACACTCTGTAATTCAGCTTGCGAGTCCAAGATCATGTTTGTAGACTGCATAGTGGGGCAATCGATGTCCATGAACCCTAGAAGCTCATCATCATGGAAAGCTTGTGTTATGGAGTGAGAAGGGGAAAACAAGGAACTAGAGATTTGTAAAGGTATATCAAGAGTTTGGTCATATCTCAGATCTAAGGCATCTAAACCGGGCAAAGAATAATCATCTGGGCTGTTCAAGCTTCCCAATGTGTAGAGAGGAGAGAAACCATCAGAAGGAGATGTGCTTGGTTGTGCATAGTCAATACTGCCTATCTGTTGCGATGTCACAAGCTTATTTGCATCTGAAGTCTCCGTACTCGCAGAGCTTGCTGTGTGTGAAGACATACCAATGAGGGAGTTCATATCTTCGAATGTTATCACTCCATCCCAATGTTGAAAAGCTTCAGTGGCCATTCTTTGTGCATCAATCTGGAAAGGATGTTGATCGAAATTTTGTTAGAATTGACATACAAGTACACATAGAAAAAAGAGGCATCTTACATTTAGAAGTTAGAAAGCAAGCCTTGTCATTTTCGGATAGCTTATCAAATGGAATGTACTGGCTTTCCGAATAAAATCCAATTACTTGTCCCACAACATTGAAGACCACACCATTCTTGTGCTGAGACATAGGTGAATAATACAAGTATACTCTTTTGTCAAGTACACATGTCCGAGCATGCTCTATGGTTATTTCCCACATCTTGGCAGACATACCAGAGCCCAATATCTGAATATATGTCCAAGAACAACTTATGAGAGATAAACCATGTGGCCTAGCACAAAAGAAACGCACAAAGAACACTCAAAGTACATATATAGGCATGAATAGTTTTAACCATATTTGATCACACGATAGTGAGGGGGAAATCAAGAATCTAGCTTAGAAGGTGTTACATACAGTCCAAAAGATACTTGCTCCATTTTTTTAAAATATATATATATATATATATATATATATATATATATATATATTGTAGATTCTTAAACGGAAATTTAAGTCAGGTATATAAGTCCAAGATTCTTACATTCCTTAGCCTTGCAGGATCTAGATGGAGCAAAATCAGGAAGTCCTTCACAGTCCTCACTCTGTCTATGCTCAGTCGTTTGTGGAATGCTCCATCTTTTCCAATCTTTTCCAGACGCCAAACTTCATCAGTTAGAGATGGAGGATGGTGTTTCTTGTACACTGCAAAAAGGCCCGATAGCTTTCTTATTCAACATGGTAAGTATAAAAAGGTTGCTTTAATCCTCAAGATATGACACTAATAATCATCAATATATATTTTGAGTTTAATCATCATCCAATATCAACTCAATGAGCACATAATATAACAACAATTTGCAATTACTATAGATAAATTCATCCAAGTATCCAACTATTAAGAAAAAAAACAATTGATCTTGTAGACACAATCTCTTTAGAGTAAAGAAACAAATCTGTATAATAAGCATTGTTTTTTTACTTCAAATAAGCAGATAAAATTCCCAGACCACTATAAGAGAAGACAGTTACGTGGAGATCAGTCATACATTGAAGCTAATTACTAAGGTTAGCATTGTGGCATCTTCTAGTGAAGGTTCTTTCGACAGATAATATATATACCAATATTCAGATTTCCCATATAAATAAGAAAAAATAGAGAAATCAAGCTACTCACATTCTCCACGATGATCCCTGACAATGAAGGATTCTGTCTTTGCTTCTCTAATCCTATATCCATCAGCGTTTCCAACCACCCCGGCCCCTAGTCTAAATCTGCGGCTCCGTGTCCAGCTTGAGTTATCTCTGAAAGAAATTTCACCAACAGAACCAATGCCCTCTTTCAGATATACATTTACATCTCCTGTTAGAAGAGGTTTCTTTCCTTCCCGTTCTCTCACAATATTGTTTTTAAATTCTTCTATTGTCCAGTTTTCACCCTCGTCACCATCAAAATCACCTTCAAGAACTACAATTTCTACTTTTGCAGAGGATTCATTAGCATACTGGACAACTTCATCAGTAGCAGCATCTATTAGAACAACTTTAATTGCAGATCCATCTTCGCCTTCTATTCGGGTTCCAGTAAACACAGGCAGAGAGAGAGTGCTCAAAAACTTTAGCTGCAGATTTCTAGATTCACAAGGAAATAAATCTTCATCGGAATTCCTAAGAAAAATTCAGAAGATTGAATTATGTTAAAATAGTCATTTCTGGCAGTAAATCAATTTCAGTAATACTATAGCCATCTTTTAGCCAATAATGTCATCAAAAGACAGTTTCTTACCGCTTCAATTTCATGACATGCTTCTTTATTGCTAACTCTACCTCTTCCTTGACCTAAACACATGCGAGAAAATCCATATATCATGGTATCAGAGACAAGTTTGACAGGGTTGAGACCGCAACTATCTAGAGCCACCAATTTATCTAATGTAGTAACTGTGGGCTGTATAGGGTTATCTAAGTTTACAATTACATTTTTCACAATCCAAGCCAATTTGTTGAAACCACCACAATAGCAATTATGGAGTAGCATTTATCTTTAACAATTGGCAACTGGTATAGCAACCAATATCACACAAGACAAAATGACCAAATAGTATCAATGCATTTAAAACAAGAGTAAATCAAGAAAAGTCTTGTTGCATTTTTTGCTAGTGAATGAACTGGCTTGACTTATATTTTACAAAAATGACAAAGGCAAAATAAAATGGTGATTCTCAGTGACATCCTAAAATCATCAAGCATATGTTCCATAGTCTACAGAAAAAAAATAAAATTTCAGTGAACTTACAACTCTACGAAGCATAGGCTCCAATGCATTTTGAAAGCTCTTTTGTCTCATCACCTCCAGAACCACACTAAAATGTCAAAGAAAAGCATCGTTAATTTCTATTGCATATAACTATGACTGCTAATATTCAAAATGAATTAACAATACTTAATCTACAACCAAATAATTAGAACCCAGCATAAACCACATTCTGAATGATGCATAAGCAAAGCTTCAATGGATAAGACATCAACATTGTGACAATCTGACAGAAAGCCAAAGTGGAAGTTGCATTTCCTTTTTTTGGAAAATTCAGTCACTCCGCACTCTACACTATTATAGAGTGCTCCTTCTCATTTAACCTTCTTAAGTGCTGTAAATATTGTTGAAACTATTTCCTTCCCCCCAACTTGAGTCACTCAAGCATTCACTTCTACATTAACCTTTAACTATGGAATTATGAGCTCTCTAAAATGGATGCCAAGTAAATTCTCATAGAAGAAACTATTGCATAATTGCACTAATTAGCTTTGAACTTAGGGAGACCGATGATGGCCCATCAATTACTACTAAGTCATATAAACACCATGAAAATCCTCTTTTAAAATGCTTAAATAATTATATATATATACCCTTTAAAAAGGCTAGTCCAATTTGACAATGTAAACTACTCCAATAATATCTAATAGTACTCTTATTCTGAACAATTCACTAAATTTTCTGATCACCACAAAACGAAAATCATTTCTAATTTCACAGTATGTACAAGAATCAACTCATTGCAACCAAATTTAAGAAGTAAAGCAATTTCTCATAGCAAAAAGGTATGTAATTTATTAACAATAACGTCGAAAAAGTAATTGAATTCTCCATTTTCATCACTACATATTAAATTACCATACTCAAGCCACACTCACTACCTCAGTAAACCCAAATTGCAAAAAAAAAAAAAAAAAAAAAAAAAAACCCTATAAACCTTATACAATACTACTTCAATTAATTTTCTAATATGCGCGCCCAAAAACCTAATAGGACGATTATTTGTGGACTAATGGATTATTATCATACATACAATTATCAAAGTAAAGAAGAAATAATCATCAGTGCATGTTTCCTCAAATGGGTATCAATGGTTGCCATAATCAAGTCAACCCCACAACCTAATTCCATCCCAAAAACAACCAAACCAAGCAAATTCACCATCAAAACAAACACAAACAAAACCCCAGAAAACAAAAGAGAAAAAAGAATTCACCTTCTAAAAGAAGGAACACTTTTATGACGCTTATCATCAGGAATATGAACACCCTCTAAATTACCCTTACTAAACCCAGAAGCAGAAGAAGAATCATCCTGGGTTCTTTTCTGAGACATTTCATCAAACACATAGAGTGCAAACCCCAGAAAACAACATGAAACACAGAACCAATTGTGGGCAATTATATATAGCTAAGAAATTGAAGAAAAATAAGTAGAATCCAAAATAATTTCTGTTGTTACTCAAACACAATCTCCATCTCCCCATATCCTGAAAGAGAGAGAAAATAATACTACTTCACTCTTCTTCCTCAAGATTTGTGTTGTTGTTTCTACACTAGGGGTTGTTTTGTATGGATGGTACATAAAATAAAAATTTAATCTTTCAGAAATTTTTACCCAGAATTTTGAGGAGAGAGAAGAAGTGGGGTCCAGAGTAAGCGCGTTAAAGGTTGGAGGAAGAAGAATAAGAAAGGGGCATCCAAACAAACAAACGCGGCTTTATTCGTTTTTTGAGTTTGACGTGTCAATGGTGACTCGTTTGTCTGTCCACGTCAGCTTTCATTACTTGGACTTAGACGTCAAATTTTTTTAAAAAAATTTGGTATTAGTGATAATAATAATAATAATAATAATATAAGAATTAGATTATATATCAAATGGATTAGGAAACTTGATCATTAATAATGGTGGATTAGGGAAATTAGGCCATTTTTATAAAGGTCAAATGTTCCATATTGGCCTTTTAGAGATGACAAACAGATAAATATGGATTGGATCGGTTGCAGGTTCGATTTTGTGTCAATATTGAGTTATCCAGCAAATATATCAAGTTCAGTTGTGTATGTGTTATGTTAGATTCTTCGATAACTCTAGCATGCACTTTGATCGAATGAAACCCTTCACGCACAAGTCCATCGTGTATGTACAACTTTCAATACCTAATTACAATGTTGTTTGAAGTGATGTATCAAATTGATCATGTACTCGCGTTTCCAAGGTCGCAACCGCAAACAAAGATTTTTTTCTATCTATCAATATACACTTTTCCCATACACAAGTGTATAAATAGAGGGTAAGTACACAATACATGGTAAAGTTTTTGGTAGATGATGCATGAATACACAAACTATTTACAGTATTAAAGTATTACGTTTTACGTGTGTTAACCCTATATCTTTACCATTGCTATTGAATACGAAATACTTCCTCCGTTTTTTTTTTAGTTGACACATTTTTTTGGTCACATTTGCCAATTCACTTATTCAATCATTAATATCTTTAATTATCGATAAGCAAAAAATATGAAAAGTTGATAAATTGAAAGTATATAACGTGACGAATCTAACAAGATCCCACATGACTATATTTTTCATTACGTATAAAGCACAAAATACGGTCAAATGAAGATGGATGAATAGTGCTAAAGTCAAAACGTGTCAGTCAGGGCCGTTTCTGAGGTTTTGAGGGCCCAAGGGCGAAAAAATAAATTGGGCCCTACTTTATGTAATTTTTTTTTCATTATTACTTTAATTTGAACAAATAATCTTTCTAAAAAATAAAAAATAAAAAATAAAAAAAAACATTTTCAATAAATAATCTAGTTTTGACTACTGTTTTAAAAAAAAAACCTTATAATAATTAAACTATATACAATGCCAACAATGGTAAAATATAATGTACTTCTACAACTATATAGTATGATAAGGACATAACGTTATGATCGATTCTCTCTTGCGAATGAAATTGATCTTGTTCATAATCTATAACCATTATATTTTATTTTATTTTTTGACATATTTTATTATAATAGCAAAGATAATAGAAACAAGAATTTAAGCTGTAATTATAATTTTACAAAAATAGTTAAATAACAAGAATTTAGGCTACAATTATAAATAAACAAAGAAATAAAAAGTTCCTTTAAAAAAGAAAGAAAGATGGTTACATAAAGTGGTTTATATATAGTATTTAAAAAGTGGTTTATGTATAGTTGTATACATTAATATATAGTATTTTAAGGAAGGAAGGAAGGAAAAAAAAAAAAAAAAAACGCAAAATGTGGCTAATGGTAATCAAACTGCAAATCAAGAAACAAACTTTTACCTTAAATATTTACCCTAACCACCAAGCTACACAAACAAACATGATGACAAATGTATCTCTAAATTTAATATATCGGTAATTTTACTGAACTTAAAAGCTGAAAAATGGGCCCTCCCCATCCATGGGCCCTGGCCGGTTGCCCCGGCTTCCCTGGGTCAGACACGGGCCTGGTATCAGCTAAAAAGAAACGGAGGTAGTAGTAGTTTGCATTGCTTGACTGCCCTAATGCCCTATGTCCCTATATGTACTAGAAACCACATATATCAATTAATGCATCAATAATAATGTACCCCATAAGGTAATCTCTTGATTCTAAATGGACAAATAAATTTATGTAGACCAGTTAATTACTTATAAATTTTCGGTATAATTTGATGTGACCTACCTCAAGTACTCAATATTTAAAATTGCATCTATAAGCAACGAACAAGAATTACTAGTAAATAAAAAAGAAAGACATAGCTTGGTCCATGCCATTATATTGATGGGCAATAGCAAAGAAAGGTACTCCGTACAAAAACAATATATTCCGTTCATATTAACCATTTACATTAAGGGTCAAGTTGCCATATAATACTTCCTCCATTTACATTTATTTGACACATTTGATTTAGGCACATGTATTAAGAAGATGAGAGAGAGAGTGAGAGAGAATGAAAAAGTAAGTGGGTTAGCTTGTAAATACAAGGTAAGAAATTTACCCCAATAAAAAACGTGTCAACTAAAAAAAAAAAAAAAAAAACCTCTTAAAAAGGAATAAGTGTCAACTAAAATGAAACGGAGGTAGTATAACATATTGTATATGTAAATGTTTGACTACACTTATCATACTATACGTCTATACTATGGGTCTGTTCTCATTAACTGAACTCAGCTAAACTGAAGCGAAATGAATCTTTTATAAGAGAAGGAAATCAGGAGCTGAACTGAACTGAACTGAATTGAACTGAACTGAATTTCAATGTATTAGAACATGCCCTATATCTATTCTTTATAAAAATTTCATTTGCATTTTGTACCATGCATGTCTAATAATGCACACTTTTGATTAAAAATATCATTAGTTTGACATTATTTCATAGTGATGATAATGAAACATTGTTTTGAATAAAATAAATAGATAAATTGAATAGAATAACAAGATTTCACGTTTTTGGAGATTATTTTGATCATTGTCCTAATTATACCTACTCCATATCAAAGCTTTATTATTAATTTTGGGATAATTGAAAAAACATGGACTCAATTAACTAATCAAGGATGTATGTAGGAGTATGAGATAAACATATAATTATCTTGAAATCAGATAATCACATAGTTCAAATATAATACTACATATTACGAAGTATTTACTAGTATTTCATTCATAAAATATGACTACATGAGCAGTTGAGTATGTAATAGTTAACATGATTTCGATCTATGCGATCTTTGGCAGTGGCGGAGCCACTATAGGAACATGGGGGGACAGCTGCCCCCCATTTAAATAAAAAAGTTTGATTTTCGTTAGCATAAAAAGATATCGTAAAACGTTTATATACATTACACAAACAAATATGTGTCACAAAGTTAAGAGATGGTTTAGTGGTTGTTGGGCCTTGAATAAGGCTTCATTTTCTCCTCTTGTTCCTAGTTTTGAGTCTTTTGACTCCTTCCTCATACATTTTTTTGTATACTCCCCCCCTCCCCTCTTTTTATACTTAATATTTATTTCATTTTATAGTTTATACAAAGTGTTGTCATTTAACTTATTTTTCTTGTTTTTGGAATTTTTCCTTTTTTTATATACTTGTTTTGGATTTCATTTTATAATATATAATTTATAAATTTAAATTATTATAAGTTCTTAAACCTCTAAGGCCCCGTTCTTTGGAGCTGCTTTGCTCTGCTCTGCTCTTCTGAAATCTGCTCTGCTTTACTGAAATCTGCTCTGCTCTGCTTCAATCTGCTCTGCTCTACTTAAAATTAATACTTAATATTAAATTATTATGATAATAATTAATAATAATAAATAATTAATATTTAATATTTAATAATAATAATTAATATTTTATAATAATAATAAATAAATAATATTTAATAATAATAAATATTTAATATTTAATTATAATAATAATTAATACTTAATAATAATAATAACAATAATTAATTATTGATATTTAATAAAAAAAAATAAAAATAATAATAATAAATAATTATTAATATTTAATAATAATAATAATAATAAATTATTAATAATTATTAGTAACAATAATAATAATAATAACAATAATAATTAATATTTAATAATAATAATAATAGTAATTATACTAATAGTAATAATAATACTTATGACTAATAATATTAATTATAGTAACAATAATTGATTTTTATAATAGCAATTAATATTAAGATAATAACTAATATTTAAAGATAATACTAATTATTAATTTTTAATAATAATAATAATAATTAAATAATATTTAATAATAATTATAATTAATATAATAATAATTAATATTTAACTTTAAAATTTTAATGATTATAATAATAATGCAATAATATTAGTAGTAGTAGTAGTAGTAGTAATAATAATAATAATAATAATAATAATTATTATTATTATTATTATTATTATTATTATTATTATTATAATAATAATAATAATAATAATAATAATAATAATTAATATTTAATAATAATAATAATAATAATTAATATTTAATAATAATAATAATAATAGTAATATTAATAATAATAATAATAATAATAATAATAATAACAATAATAATAATAATAATAATAATAATAATAATAATATTTTTTTTGAGGAAAAGGTAGTACGAGCTTTTATTAAATTAAATCCAATTCCGCCAAAGTAATGGTACTCTGAGGGAACGGTTCAGTACAAACAAGTTCATCACAAGTTCCGGTATCCCACCTAGCAATGTGGTAAGCTACCGTATTACAAGCTCGTCTAACATGAGAAAAAACGCAAACATCAAAAAAAGCTTTATCATGCCTAATATCCTCATAAATAAGGTGAGTTGGAGTCATACCTCTTCTCTTGCCTTGGACACCACGTATGACACTAGTAGCATCACTCTCCACATGGACAATGTTAAAGCCGAATCTCTTGGCAATTGATAGACCATATCTAGCAGCAAGTCCTTCGGCAATAGCAGGGGTTGTAAAAGGAATGCACTTTACACCAGCAACCAAGAGCTTCCCCCTGTCATCTCTCACCACTGCCCCCAGCCCCACCATACTACCAGCACACACATATGCATCCACATTGACCTTTACCACTCCACTAGTTGGACAAAACCAGCCAGCAGCATTGCTAACTAACCCATTGCTACGTCCAACAACAGGAACACACCCCACCTTCTTCACATACTCACCATAATCCTCTACCAACTTCGCATATCCAGCAGCAACAAGGACTACATTGACTCTTTCATTGTTGAATATTACCTTATTTCTGCAAAACCATGCTGCCCACATTAAAGCACCCATTGATCTCAGCTCCTTTGTCTTCACCTTACATGCTAACCAACACTATCTCTCCTTGAAAGAGGCAGTAGGTGCCCCGACAAGCAAATTCGCCAGATTGCTATGCCTCCATATCTCTGCAGCAGCATCACAATGAAAGAGGGCATGGATAATAGTCTCGCTGCCAGCACCACAAACCTGATAAGTCTCAACATCCGTAATGTGCCTATAAACAAGCCGGTCTTTCACTGCTAAATTTCCTTTACACGCACTCCAAATGAAATGCTGCAGTTTTGGGGGTCCTCGAAGATGCCAAATCCCTCTCCATAACTTGGTATCCTCATCATTCATATCACCTGCCAATAATTCACCAGTTCGTGCAAGCCAGTAGCATGATTTAACAGAAAATTCACCATTTTCTGTATGTTTCCAGAACAACAAATCTTTCGGAGTCCTATTAGACAGAGGTGTGGCTAAGATTTCAGCACTTATATCATTAGGGAATAGATCATTAACTAGCTCCCTATCCCAAGACCCACCACCCTCCACCATCAAATCACTGACTTTCATATCCATGTCATACTGGCCATATGGATTAGGATACACCACCTTTCGGTCCTCAAAAATCCATGGGTCAGTCCATACTTTGATGTCATGCCCATTACCAACCCTCCAACCAAGTCCATCACGTAGCACTGATTTTGCCCCCCAATTGCTCCTCCATGAGTAACTGGGATTATGTCCGCGATTTGCCTCAATGACACTAGATCGCTTATAATATCTCGCCTTCAAAGTTTGGTGTAGCAATGTATCACCACCCTTTAAGAGCCTCAATGCTTGTTTTGCTAGTAAAGCTTGGTTGAAACTCTTCAAGTCACGGAACCCCAATCCCCCCATAACCTTTGGAAGACATAATTTTTCCCAACTCTGCCAATGCAACTTCCTAACATCCTCTCTCGAACCCCACCAAAACCTACACAGGAGAGTATGAATTTCATCTAGCAATCCATCTGGAATCTTGAAAATGCTCATCATATATGTCGGTATCGCTTGAGCCACAGCTTTGATGAGTACTTCCTTCCCCGGTCTCGATAACAGTTTCTCCTTCCACCCATTTAATTTTTTCCAAACACGCTCCTTTAGGCACAAAAATACAGCTTTCTTTGATTTTCCAATAACAGTCGGAAGCCCCAAATATTTCTCATGTCGGTCTACCTCCCTAACCCCCAAAGTCTCAACAATCTCCATTCTTCGATCTAGTGGCACACATTTGCTAAAAGTTACCTCTGTCTTATCTAGATTGACTTTTTGACCAGACGCTCTTTCATAAGTACTGATGATATCAGCGACCACAGAGCATTCCTGCAGAGTAGCTTTTGCAAATAATAAACTATCATCTGCAAAAAATAGATGTGAGACTCTGCTGAAATAATAATAATAATAATAATAATAATAATAATAATAATAATAATAATAATAATAATAATAATAATAATAATAATAATAATAATAATAAAATCTGCTCTGCTCTGCTCTGCTCGACTCGGCTGAAATCTGCTCTGCTCTGCTTTGCTTTGCTCTACTGAAATCTGCTCTGCTCTGCCCAGAAGCTCAAAAGAACAGGGCCTAACTATTCTCAGTTAACTATTTAATCAAGTACTGCCTTTTTTATAATGATTAATAATGCGCTATTCAACTATTTGTAATGAACACATATATCCGTATTTTTTATCTCTTTAATTATGTGTGCTTAAATTAAATTTTTTACTTTATAGTGTTTGGAACTAAATTTCTAATTTTATTTTTACAGAACACACCGTAATAATTTTATTAGTCAAATAAAGTTGTGTTTATTTTTCTTCGAATGTAACCCAAATTCCTTTAATTATATCTATTTTCATATTGTTTAAACGGTTATTATTTAATAAATCGTATTTTTCAATTATCGGGGATCACATAACTTACAATTGGGGTTTAGCAAATAATTTTTTTTTTTGATGATTTTCTTAATATGCAATCAAACTTATAAAAACTACTCTTTTGCCATATAAGAATAATTGTCTTCTCCATAACAAAAATATATACTCGTATTAAGCAATTTATGTGATCATCTTTTTTTTTTCTCAAAATTTTTGTCGATTTTATTAAACATTTGAAATTTGTCCCCCCACATTATAAATCCTGGTTCCACCACTGATATTCTTTGGATCAATTTTCATCACTTGTCGACTTTTTAACCACCAAAAAAATATATAGACACAAAAAAAGAATAGTTTTTTTTTAATTATTCCAATCATTAATCCTTTAGTTCATTGAGAAATGATCTACTTACGGATCTAATAAATTGGCATTTCATTAGATGATGTTTGGTACCTAACATTTAGGCATGCATTTAGGGTTTATGATATTGAATAGAGTTCATACTTTTCATGGAAAAGTGATAAGGGTAGAAGACCTAACAAACTTAATTAGTATAAGGAGGCAATTAATGTTGATGATTTGACCTTATTTTACTATTCAAGACAACCTATACTACTCTATAAATTTGAGCAACAATATTAATACTACTAGTAGTCATACTACGAGTACTATATTGGGAGAAATGATCAGCCTATACAAACTTTCAGCCATTTTCGATTTTTGCTTTTTATAAAAAAAAAAAAAAAAATTCTCATACGTATTTTAAAATGGTGTTTTAGTCTTTAAATCAAACAAAAATATCTTCAAAATTTATTTGTTCATGCTTGTAAATTAAAAGTATGACTTACAATTGATAATAGTGAGTTTCTTGGTCTTTGATGAAAGATTAAAAAAAAAAGGGGCGGGGGGGGGGGGACTAAACATTTACACATCGTATGTATTAGCTAGTTAAGTATTAAGCTTTAGACATTTTTTAAATAATGATATATTAATTTGCACCTGATATATATATTCTTTGTAAGGACTTGGCCTAGTAGAAAGGTTTGCACCTTTCAACCTCAAAATTGTGGGATCAAACCCCATTACACGAACAACATGGGTTAGTGGGGATTCCCTTACCCCCTCCTCCCATTCCCAAAAGGCTTTGCCTACGAACCCTGACTAAAATGATTCCTACATAAACTTTTACACTATTCACTTAAGATGTTCGTTCAATCGTTCTTGTATTGTTGATAAGGCTTCTTACCACTTCACTAATTATACTTTTTTAATAATATATAGTTGAATCATTCTCATTTTCTTATACTTTATACATCAATCAATCTTTTAATTATTTTATCACTCAATCTTAATACAAATTTATAATTATGTAACTACAATTCGTATTATAAACTAGATGGATAAAATAGACACATATATCATATTCGGTATATCATCGTGACTGTACACTTGTGTGTGTAGGGTAACTTAAGACATAGATATGATTGAGGTAGAGGATCAAACAATAACTAATTGAACCTTCAACAAGAAGTGATAACGATAGCAACTCATATGCAAAAGATCAGAGATTTCAGCGACCCACTACATATGTTCATGTTCATGGACAACAACTAATAGTGACATGACCTTAAAAACAAACACAAAATAAGACCGTTATACCTTTTTGGGAAGCTTCCTTCTTTAACTCCCTCATTTCGTTGTTTCTTTTCAATATTATATCATATAGTATATTTTTGCTTGCCAAATCACACTTTAATGCTACATATATGTAGTCAAAATAAACTCAAATTCAAGGTAAAAGACAAAATGGGGAATTCCCAAATGCCATGATTTATGTTAATTTGAAATTTAACATTTTGTAAAAAGTTGCCTAATAATAATAAACTTGTAGATATGCATGGGACCATGCACATAGTTGTGTTTATATGCTATATATTCTTTTATAGCATGCATGCAACAATCTAAAGATTTTTTGGGTATTTGCACGTAGGTTCGTGGAAGGAGCTAGCAAGCAAAATCCATGCACATGCATTTGTGATCACAATGCAAAAATCATTTTAACCTACATATAGATGATCTTCAAATATATAGATTCCTTCTACTATGTTAGTGACGTGTAGGTATGCATCATTGCTTGTATAAAGGATAACACTAGTAAATTTATTGAAAGTGATAAAATATAAAACTTATTCTTGATCCTCAAACATCACGTACCTTAAGTTTTTTTTGTTGAGAAGGTCCTTTAATATAAAATCAAGAGTATGTAGTCAACATGATATAAGGGTCACGAGTTCGAATTTCATTAACCCTTCCTTTTCAAAGTGGAATTTTAAGCATTATAAAACCTATCCCCGAAGTTCAATTATCAGCTAAAATTTTTTGTTCAATTGAGACTCATATAAAAGATTATTTAACAACATAGATTTTTTTATTTTTATAATTTTTCTATTTCTTTTATATAATACAATAATCAAGGGATGTTAACAAGCTGAGTTGAGGTCAATATCCATCTTTAGAGTACGCGGTTGCTTGTTAGCATGGATTATAACACTTTCATTGAATTCAATCACTACAGGAAAATTGGCTTTTTGTAGCGATTATTTTGTAGCAATTGTACATTCGCTACAATATGCAAGTATGTTTGTGAAATAATTAAGGAAATTGTATCATTTTACAATCGCCATGGTTTTCCCATATAAAATCAATTCGGAAAACATAATAATACATATCCACACTATATTTGCACAATTATAAAATTATGAGAAATCGTATCATTTACAATCGCCACTAAATCCCAAAAATCGATACTAAAAGTCTTTTCTACACTAGACATATAAATATTATTTGACAAAGAATACATAAAATATGTCATAATTTATTGGTGAAACATTTAATATAAGAGTTTGAGGTTGCATATTCGAATCTTATAAAGATCATATGTATGATTTTTTTTTTTTGAGAAAATAAGTTCAACATTTATAGCGATTATATAATCGCTACTACAATCACCACGATTGGATGTAGTTTTTCATATCGATTATTGAGGCCAACCCCAGCGATATTGAAAACCACTACTAAAGGCTAAGGCAACATGGAATATTGTATCGAATGACCATTCGTTGGGAAAACTTTTTGTTGCAATTACAATCGATACTAAAGGTTAAAATAATCGCTACGAAAAGGTTATTTTCTTATAGTGAAGTCCAAGTAAAATTCTCTCGAAATTCAAGAATAAAATTTCAAGTCTCTTATTTTCTTAAACTTTATCTTGCAATCTTATAGTTTGATAAAAAGTTACTCTAGCTAATTCTTAACTAGTCAACCTTTGAAATATGTAATCCTCCATATGAAAGTATTATTTAACAATCTAACACATTGCTAGTTTTGGCAAGAAGTGAACAACATAGATCAATGTATTCTTCTTTGACGATTTTGTTTGATATTTTTGCAATTGGTATCAAAACACTTGATCATTCATGCATGCTAAGCTACTCCATAAAACATTTTCATAAGTTTTTGTTTTTTCCTTGAGCTTCTCACTAGTATTATTGTGACTTTGTGAGATTCTTGAGTCATATGTGAACTAAAAATTATGATTAATTAAATTAAATAAATCAATATAGCAAATATGACATATTTGATTCATAATATAAATCATGGAAAATTCTTAGGATTGCATATAAAAAACTAATAAAAGAAAAGATTGAGAATAGCTACATTAACTATGTGTATAAATTGTTTAATTTATGCGTGTTTTTATCATAACTTCTAAATTTTATACGGAGTACTAATATAAACAAATGTACATAATGTTTATTTGCATCCCTTAGGGTTGTATATACGTCATTACTCATATAACATTATAAGAAATTTACACAAATTGTGATTAATATATTAGAAACTAATTGTGAAAAATGATGTAAAATGGTCACCAACATCAATTCAAACTCTTCCATGCTACTCTTGGTTGATTCGCTTGCTATCTTTTTCTGAATCTTCCCTCAACAAATTGCAATAAATAATTTGGTTAGCTGGATTGAGGGTATATCTACAACAACGACTTAATTAAACAATGACTTAAAAGAGCAACACTTTGCAAGATAGTAAATGAATTAAAAGTATTGTCTTTCTATTTTTTTTTAATTTTTATTTTTTTACAGGATTAAACAACAATAATAATGAATAGTCAACACTTCTAGAATTTCAAATACATTAAAATCTCACAATAAAATAAATTTATTATTCTGATTTAAAAATAATTTACTCAGAAGACGTTTCTAACCAAACAATGTACGAGTATATAGTATATTTCGTACATGTCCTATTGTACCTCTTACGCAAAATTGGTTAATGTCAAACATGGAAGTTGCATTAATCATGCACTAATTGATACTCGAGTACTAGTGTTTGGTGACGCAACCAGCCAAGCAGTGGCATGTACTCGAACATGTTAGGTTACCATTGGGTCTTGTCCCTTTAATTTAAACAGACTTTTATTAAGAGAATTTATTGATATCTTATTAGAAAAAATATATTTCTATGAAGTGTATATATAGGAGTAATTTAATTGCAATACTTTGACTTTTTACTATTCGTATAATAACTTTGGCCATATAATTTTTTTTTCCCCGAAAAACTGTACATTTTGACTAATCTGTGATGTTCAAAGCACACAAAGATTTTTTTAAAAATAAATGGTTATTACAATAAGTTCATTATATATCTTCTTGGCATATTAACGTTTAAACTTTTTTTTTTCATTAATATGAGTAGGTCATTTTAGTACATTGTTTAAAGTTGTACGTTGACGTGCGTACTAATCAAAGTATTATAGTCATTTTTTAAAATGGTGGAATTTTTTTCGAATTACTTTTCAAATTAAAGGTCCACAACTAGTGGACAAGGTTTACTTAATGAGATTATTGATCCCATAGACATGTAAATGTAATGGACCTTAGTTGTTTGTGTTGGCTATAACCTCCTCAATCAATGACAAAAACAAATTAGGTTTACAAAAATTTTAAAAAATAATAGCAAGAATGTGATCCTACCACCAATAAAATATTTATATATGTGAAACACTGGAGCGTCACACAATCTGCAAATGGTTTGACACGTACGCATGAACTGGAATCTTCGGTGACAAAAATTATGATGGCCACGCTCAAGATAACACCAAACTCACTAAATTCACTAGGTTGCTCTTTCTCTATTCGAAATTTGTCTATTTTGATCGATTGATTGCAATTTTGATAGAATAGAATTCAATTGGTGATTCCTAGTGTTTTGTGGTTAGAAATTAGAGGGCCTTTACCACTACAGTTTTGTCACTCTCTGTTTAAAATCTGATTACCTAGATTTTGAATGTCAGTGTGAACACGCCACACTGTCAATTGATAGCATGACCCGTCATATAAGTTAAGACTTGGAGTTTGAAAATAATTTGAATTAGGCAAACAAGATTAGGTTGTATGTATTATGTTAAATAAATTAATTCACTAGTTAAAACTTCTATCAATTGCATATCAAATATTCCCTCCGTCCCTTAATACAATGTCTCTTTCTCTTTATTATGTGAGGAATAAATGCTCAATAGAGGCATTGTATTAAGGGATGGAGGTAGTATTATTCTTCATGGCCTCTCACAGTGATTTGCAACCTTCTTTAACAAGGGGTTTATAGCTTAATTTTAGTCGTTAAGACATTTTCCTTCTAATTCAATTGATCTGATTGTAGTTGAAGGATTGGTCTCTTATATAAACCACTAAATAATTGTTAAAGACTTAATTTGTAATAGACTCAAACTTGCATTAATTCCACCATAGAGTAACTTAGTTATTTTCGACCTATATAACCCTAATTTTAGCGAGTTCCGGATAGTATAAAAAAAAGGGGAGAGACAAAGGAAATGGTGGCATTATCAAAGAATGCTTTAGAATATAAGATCAACCTTGTTGAAGAGCAAAGTGGACCAAACCATTTTCATCTAGAGAATAGAAATGACATGGAAGTTTCATTTGCCCCACAACAAAGAAAAATAGGACCATCAAATTATTCTTTTTCTGTCCTCTTACAATGACGAAACTTTGAGAGATTCGGCCCAAAATTTAGAAAAAATGAGTCAAGCTAACTTCAAAATATTTGTGCTATATGATACAAGTAATTGATAAACTACTGCTACTTCTTCATTCTCAGTTTTCACTACAATAATTCAGTATACAAATTACAAAGGTACAGTTTTGTAATAGATGCCGAATACTCATGTTCGATCAACATAAGTATTATGTCCAAACCTCAAAGCTCGTAACTTCAACACCGTATAACACTATTCCCACTTCATGCTTTAAAGCTTTACATTCTGTACAACTTAATGTATGGTTGTCAAGAATACTGTTTTACATGATTTACGGAGTAAATGACAATAAATAATATTTATCTCTATACTTAATCTACTACCTTCAGCAACGAGGAGATATTCGAGTATTTATCATTCTAGACTAGACTGATTGATGGAGATAGTAACATGAATCTGTAGACTGTCATACAAATAACCACAGCCCACAGAAGCCAGCTATGCTGCATGACCTTCGCCTACAACTGGTTGCATCAACACCACAGTCTTCATCAGTCAAACATCTATAATCGATACGGGCATCAGCGACATGGCATGCACTTTCGAGTTTCTGGTAGGCTTGTCTACTAGTGCTTGCAGTCATTGCAGGACATACCTGCAGTGACATCGCACTAGCTCGTCTCACCTTACTTGCTCTCTGTAAATAAGAAGGTTTCAGATTTTAATACAAGAATTTTATATTAACCCAATTATTTCACTCCATACTATAATTTTTTCAGTTTATGTGAATTGGAGTTAAAATTTCCAAAAACGATTACCTGAATGAAAGTATTATTTGCCAAGGTATACTCTTCTGGAAATTTATCATGCCAGGCAGAAAGCACGGGGAGAGGGTGACCTTCAGTTGTGAAGATGTAGTTCCGATCAACTAAAAATGAGTCATCATAAAGTAGATACAGGTATTTGCATCTGCAGATACAAATCGGAAATTTTGTAAGGGGATTGATATATATAAATAAATAAATAAATAAATAAATAAATAAAAATCTTTCATTGTTGAGTAGAAATATACGTCTCAGCAAGGAAGAAACTGTGCTGATGGTCTTCCAACACCATAGTTGAGACATCTCGAACACTAGCAAAACCACCTTTGACTTTGGTGTGCAAATTTAGAGAGTCTGTAATTGATTCACCCACTTCTAGGTACCACGGATCTGACAATAAGGACAAAATGAGAAATAATTGGAGCACGGATACGTAATAATTTGTTTAGGCCTATGCTATTTTTGACTCTTCATTTTGTCTCAACTCTTACATACCCAGGAGTCCAAGACAGACCCTCGACACTAATACAAGGTTATGTTATCTATTTTCACACATACACCTCAATTATCTTACACCAAATATTCATGAGAAAGAAAAATGAAAAAAGTGAGAAAAATAACATATGATAATGAGACATAAGGTCACAAACAGACTAGAGAGTAGAGACAATAATTTAACAAGAACTAGTGACCAAGTTCAACCTAAAAAGCATACATGTATCTGAAACATTCATGCAAATGTTTTTGAGATTAAAATTATATTTCATGCAAGCCATAAGTTTGTGTCCAATTTTGAGACAATTTTGCCGCGTCTAAAAATTTGAGACCTACATGTCCAGCACTTGGATATGTACCTATACCTAACCCAACACTCATACTGGTGTATAGAAACATAGGTTAGGTTAAACAGCAAGGACAATTGTATGAGTATACCTGCATCCCAATCACATTCGAGCAGTGTGATAGCAATCTCGATTATAAAAAAAAAAAAAAAAAAAAAAAATTAAAAAAAAAAATAAAAAATTGATGAAAACTTGTGCTACAGTGCTACCTATATTAGCATTGTTTGAAGGCTAATTAGCTAACCTTTGGTAGCTTGATACAAGTAGAAGGTTGATTCTGCCAATTCAGGACGTAGCGGATAATACTTTTCTGTTGGATGCAGCATTTGATGGTCAAGAAGATATCTAAAAACAATTGAGGCTCAATTCAGTGAAAAGTAGGGGATTCCCATTAGTTTAACAAAGAGACACAATAGAGGTTGCAGCTCTGATAATACCTTTCAGGCAAAACACCAAATCTCTCCCAAACCTTGAAAAACTCACGATGTGAGGAATTCGCAGCTGCAATATCTCCAACAAGAACCTATGCACAACCGCATAAATATAGCTATCAGATTAATCAGAATAATTTTGCTACACTAAACTGTAGCCTCAGACAACATCATTTCAAACTAGCCTGTACTCCAGGCCAAAATGCTTGGAGGCTCGTAAGTTGCCAGTAAGTAGCATGCCCAGTTCTCATATCTGCTTCATGATACCTACTCAATAAGAAACAGTTAACAATTATTAAAGAATCAACTATGCATGCCAATCACTCTATTTTTTACGAACCATATTCCTAAGGGTTACATATAAGCAAAATTCCTAATATGGGAATTCATGACAATATAAAGAATCAGTGTTATTAAATGCTTTTAGGCTTTTAGTATTCTATAATTTCTAGTTATACTTGTAGCCCTTAAGGTCACGTGTAGCCTTAGCATTTCAATACAACAGAAAACTTATTAGCTTTTCAAATAAGAAAGCAGTGTAATTCATTATTATACCATGGACCATGTCTGAAATATTTCTGGACAGCAACATAAGCAGACTGAAACATCCTCCAATACTCCTCCTTTCCAAAGAGAATGTAGGCTTTGACTAAATACTCATAAAATGAGTCAACTCCTACACCGCATCAAAAATAATTCAGCCACAAGAAAAGTAAAATTCAAATTCCTTAATACATGCAGATAAAATTACACAAGTGACGATTGAAAAAATGACAGCTTACCAGCACCAATCCCAGAAGAATGCTCTATCCACTTTCCAGTAACCACGTCCAGTGTTGTCCCCAACAGATTCAAGGAACTTCTTAAGCTCCATAACTTACGCAAAGCACGAAAAGCTGCAGCTTCATACTGTGGGTTTCCAGTCAATTTTGATAATGCCCCCATTTCGAGAATCAGGGAGCCTGACATTAGAATACTAAGTAAGCCATACTTATCACTAAATCTCCAAAATTCATATGACTGTATCCAAGAAAATCTCCTCACCAGAACCAGATGTGCTTGTTTCCGTTGTCTCATTCGCCATTACTCCATACTGTTCACATATTCATCATGAGTCATATATCCTTCTTACAGCAAAAGCAGTGGATCATCTTCATATATTAAAAAGAAGTCTAAGCAAAACAATAACATTTCACTCAGCACAAACTAATAACAAACTATCTTTCATCACAATGTGACTATGCCTAATTGCCAAGTTTATTCTAAAAACCCAAAACTAGGGAAAGGGATTCTGTTACAGAAAAAGAAGCACTAAAAAATGGCAGAGAAAACCTTGAATGGAATGACTCACAGAGTGAAAAAGAAAATGTGCTTAGCTACACTTATATATTTCCTGATAATATTCTACTCTTCATAGTCAAAAACACATTCTAGGAATTGGCATTACCTTAAGATTAATCCATGCATATGGTAATCCCGTTGGTGTACTAAATGCAGGCAAAAAACGTTGTCCCAAGTCTTCAGCTAGAGTAAGCAGCTCATTCTTGTAAGTTCCTGGAGTGAACCTGTTTCTAGAATCAATTGCAAGCATATGAGCAGAAACAAGTCCCCCAAGAACTCTTATGTTGCACTACAGATTGTCATCAAGAGAAGGAAATATCAATTAAGTTCTACATAAGCTAAGTTTATATGGCTTCAAGCATCAAGTTAAGGAACATTTATGAAATTTGAAATACATGCTGAAGGATACACATCCTTAGCATCTATTTTTGTTTCATTTATAGTGTGCTGCAAAAACTCAAATGATAATGAAAACATTAGAATTGGTTCCATTTCATCAACACATGCCGCTTGAGTTCTATAGGACTCTCTAGGCAATGTATTCCTTTACACCCAAATTTAATTACCCTTCCCAATAAATGAATCCTGTATTGGAGCCTTGGAGGTATTACTACAGCTAGCTCAGCAACTTGGGATAACAGAAATTAGTTGGTTTGTTAGAGCTGTGTAGCAAACTCTTTGTAGTATAACATACTCTTCTGTTAGATAGCTGGTAATGAGAATTGTATAATTATTCAACCAACAATTCTCTCTATTTTTCTCTTCTTCTACATTATTCTATAGTTGCTAAAATAAGCAAAGGCCTCTGTTTCATCATCCATAGTTCCTTAGTATCAAATTAGCCAATGTGACACTAACAAAGAAGCTAATTCTACAAATGATATACATCCAAGGAATTGTTTTTAGAATAAGAAAAAATGAAAATCATACAACCACTAGAATCACAATTGTGCTAACATGAATATCTTTGAACAAGATGTTTAATGCCTATAAAGCGTACCTCAAATAGATTCACCCTTGCATCCACATCAAATGTTAGGTTTTCAGAAAGCCAGGACACTGCCCGTTCAAACTCTGTATTGTTACCTAATATAAGAAGACTGAAACAAAAATTTTATCCTACAGTCAAAACACAAGGCTAACAAAACCGAAAACATAAACGTATAAAATAAACGCCCTCTATTACTAAATGAGTACCTGGATAATGACTCGATAAGTGTAAGTGCAGAACCCTTGTAATTTTGTGGCAAGTGTTCTAACTGAAAAAATAGAGCAGTAATCAACAAAAATGTAGGTGTAATCAATGGGATGTTAATCAATTTCTATGCAAAATATCTCTCACCCTCAAATTTCCTAGCTCGCTCAGCGAGTCCGTGAAAGATTTTGTCAGAGGTTTCAGCTCATCATGCTACAAGAATTACAAAACAAATGAAATTAATTTAAGTATTAAAGTTCCTACAAACTGCAATAATCAACGGAATTGCATATTAAGGAGCTTATACGAACCGGAAAGGCGTATTTCATGTAATTGTCATAGGCATGATAAAACCTGAAATGGAAATGTACAAGCTCATACTGTCAAAAGATCAAGCTCGATAATTGAATTCAAAAGAGCAATGAAAGATTATAACTTTAGGGATAAAAAATTGATGATTATGTTAGTATAATTATCCAAAATATTGAAATTTGAAAAGAAACTGTAAATTGATCCTGCTAAAATGATTTGAAGGCCAGAAATAGTAAGCTACAAGATTCTACTGATGCCTTCAAATTTATGAATTGATTATGTGGAATTGGCAACAAATTGAAGTAAATTGAACATACAAATCAAAATTGCAAATTGCAACAGATTTTAAAGAAAACAAATTTAATGAATCATGAATTAGAACACTGTAATTTAATGGGAAAACCCCAGAACATGAAAATCAACAAGATTGAGCAAAAACTGGAGTACCCAATAAGAAATTGACAGAAAAAGGATTACAATTGAAACAAGAATTGAAGTAGAAATTGTATAAATAGCTAGAATCTTACATACGGCGGACTTTCTCTCTCATCAGAAGTTTCTTACGGCAGAGATGGGAATCGGGATCAGATAGAGAAAGCTTGAGAAGGGCAGTCGAAATCAGGAAAATTATGAGAACCCATGTTCTCCAATGGCGGATTGACATGATTTTTCAGGTCAATCCCAAGTTACTGGGGATGGGATGATGAAGAGTTGTTCTTGTGGATGTTGAGGGAGGGAAGATGGTGGTAAATGTTAATGAAGGGAATCAGGGAATTCAATTGAGTCATGGAGATCTAACGAGAATTTGATGCTAACTTGGCTCTCCCGGGGTCAGTTTGTGACCCCGGGCAAGTTATGCCTATACGATGTGGCAATGGGTCACACATTGCCTATATAACTATAGTTGTATTACTCGTATATAGAGTGGTTGTATAGTTGTATTACTCGTATATAGATACATTGTTGATGGGGATTTTAGTTGATTTAGTCTAACATCAAAGTCAACATCATTCTAGAGCTTAATGCGTGGAGTCTTTTTGGTCGATTTTATTGGATATGCGGTAATTTTAATACAAGGATGAACAAGGGACAAAGGATCTTTAACAAGTGACAAAGGATCTTTAACAAGTAAGGAGAAATGGAGAATATCAGGGTTAATCTTAGTTATTTTGATACAAGGAGATCAAGTGACACGATTTTATGATGATCGTTTTACAAAATAATACTCTCATTTTGATTGTACATGTTTGCTAACATATTACTTTGACAATAAATATTTTAATTACATAATAAGTAAAATTTCAGTTTAGTTCAATTCAGCTCCAAACATAGTCATATTGACTCTTGTTAGTAAATATTTACTTATTATGCAAATTTTTATTTTATTATTATTATTTTTTACTTATTATGCAATTAATTTTTTTTTTTTTTTACTTATTATGCAATTAAATCTTTTAACTACATAATAAGTAAATATTTTTAATTCAGTTCAATTTAGTATAGCTCCAATCAGTTCAGTTCAATTCAGCTCCTAATTTCCTTCTCTCATAAACAATTCATTTCAGTTCTATTCAATTCAGTTCAATAACTCAGAACATGCCCTGAGAGTAATTTAAAAGTTTTTTCATCTTATGAATTCAAGATCCTAAGTGATAATATTTTTGAAACGGAGGGAGTACATTGAAATAGTTCATCTCATATGATTATGTTTTAACATAATTATAAAATACAATCAGAAAAAAATTTGTAAAACAATGTTAAAAAGTTAAAATATGTCAATTTACTCTTAAAAAAAGTCAATTTAAAAGAACTGAGTAAATGCTTCATTTTCAATACTTTGTATTTTACACTGTCTTTGTCCCTTTATTTTTGCTCCATAAGCCATATCCATTTTTAGGTCATTTGACTATAAATTGCCGTTAAATAATCTATAAGAGATAATATGGTCATGGGATCATCAAATTTTGTATAATTTTTACGCCTATGAAAATGAAGATATATACAAAATGCATTTTAAGACGCGACTTAAAACCATTAAAAGTCAAATGAGGCAAAAAAACGGGGCCGGCAACTCGGGGAGTATAAGGTAAGTCGAGGAGGAGGAAGTACAAATGGAGTGTTGTGAGACAAATGTAAATGTCTCACAACCATTAAAATAACATAAAAGTAAAAAAAGAGGAGAAAGGAGGAGAGAGATAGGAAGAGTGAAAAAAGTGGTGTGGACCCCACTAAAAATTTTCAGAAATGATTTCACGAGCAAAAACGACAATAAAAATTGGGAGCACAACTACTGAGAATATATTTTGTACCACTGAGGATTTTTATAAGTACCACTAAAACCGCATTGAGTACCACTGGCAGTGTATTTTGTACCACTGAGCTCTAATTGTTTTATTTGACAGTCTAATTAGACATTTGAACCTTTTTTTAAATACCACTAAAATTATATTTTGTAACACTGAGACTCTGAGAGTGTATTTTACACCATTAAATCTAAAAGGGCAAAATTTAAATCTCGTATAAAATAACCAATTTACCCCTGCGAGATACTTCTACCTCTCTCTCAACCCTCCGTTTATATAACCTCGTCCAGGAGAGGATAGAGTTGGCCACAAGCTGAGCTAGTCAAAGTAGGTCCCGCTAATTTCGGATAGGAGTCAAAAATTAAGGTCCCGCTAATTCCGTTTTTAAGTCAAAACAGGAAATTCATTCATTCAAATTCCCTCAAAAAAATTCCCTAATCTTCAAATACTGTAACAAAGTTGAGCCATATCTCTGATTATTCGAGTGAATGATCAACCATGGAAGAAGAAAGAGTGAATAATCCAGCCGATAAACTGCTGCCGGAATTATGGATGGAAATCTTCTCAAAACTTCCGGCAAAAACCCTGCTAAAATCAAGGTCTGTTTCCAAATTTTGGCGTTCTTTAATCGATAACCCTGGTTTCATTTCTATGCATATCACCCATTTCAAGAACAATTCCAGCAAACATTTCGTTTTATCCTATGAAACCCGGAATACAATGTGGATTTTAAATGAATTGGAATTGAATATTAGGGTTCGAACAATGGGTAAATTTAGAAAACGTGAAGAAATTTTGGAAACAATCTTTTTATCATCTGAGTATCATATTGATTATAAGGGTTATGTTGATGGGTTGATTTTATTTGGTCAATTAATTGGGGATAAATATGATTTGTTCTTGTTTAATCCTTCAATTAGGAAGCGTATGTTGTTACCCCAGATACCCTTTTGTCCTGGTGGTCGTGCTGATACTGTTATTGGGTTCGATCCTGTTATTAATGATTATAAGGTTGTTATGATTTTCTTTCCTTTCGTGTTGTCGGAACTTGAGGGGCCGGCTTCGATTCTAGTTTACGAGCTTGGCACAGGATGTTGGAGGGTTAATGTTGGTGTTGAGGTTCCAATTATGTGGTATTTTGGAGATAAAGTGTTAGCTAGAGGGGTTATGCATTGGATATCATTTAGTCTTGATGAGCGTCCTTTGCGTACGAATTATACCCATATTGTTTCCTTTGATTTTGGTAGTGAGACGTTTAGCTACACTGAGTTGCCTGGTGATCGATGGGATGATAAGGATAAATTCACTTGGCCTTTCCTTCTAGGTGATCAATTTGCTGTCTTGGATGTTGCTCGTGCGAGTGCTTGCATATGGGTGATGAAGAACTGTGGGGGGAGTAGGATGGAAGCGTGGAGTAAATGGTATCACACTACAGATTCAGACACCTATAAGTTTTTTCTGGAGCACAAAGCTGTAAAAAATTTGATATATATCGAGAGTATCCACAAGTTTCTGTTGGAGGTGGATGGAGTAGTGAAATCTTATGACTTGGAGAGCCATAAGATGAAGAATCTTGAGGTCACTGATTGTCGCTATGTTATGGATCCTTATGTGGAGAGTTTATTGCTGTGCAAAGGATTGAATGATCAGTTTTCAACAAAAATAATGGAGTACGGTGGTTTTGGCTGAGCAGCAGGGGAAAAATTGGTATGGCATTAGACTGCTTGTTTAATTTTTATCTTCAATCTTTTAGAAAGTAAATTACTTTACAAATTTAATTTACAGTGCTGTTGGCCTGTAACATCTTCTATGCTAATATTGCAATTTTCTTGGTAGCATGAGTAGAGCATATACAGCAATTTTCCTTCATTCAATTGGGTAATCAACATCTTTTCCGTCATTTTGTTGTGGCAGGCTTGTACACTTATGTCTTAAGATTATTGTGGAAGACTATCAAAATATTCATATAACTCTATAAAAACTTGAGTTGCTTTTGTATCTAATTCCAGACACTACATTTGAAGCAGAATTTTATGTAAGGTTAAACACTTTCTTGGCCTGTACTAGCTTCTTTAAATTATCACAGATCTATGGCTTGATATTCATAGTTGGGAATTGAGTTACATAGCTCATGGATATGATACGTCTTGTGCAATTGAAAACGTACAGCATTTTTGTTACTCAGCTCACTTGCACAATAGACATAGCTTTTGTTACAGAAAAGAGTATTTAACTTCTTTTGTTAATGGAAATGACCTCAATGTATGTGTGAAGTGTGAATCTTTGTGATATGTATAACATAATCTATCTCAAGATCTCTTCTTGTCTTCTTTATGTAATGAAAAATGTAACTTGGATTGTGAAAGGATTGAATTGCTTACTTTTTGTATTTCCATGGCAAAGGCTGAAAAAACAGAGAAGGGTAGTTGCGATGTTATGTTAAAATTCCTACTGCTACTTTGTTTTTACGTTCTTGTTCCTTTTCTTTTTATTAGTAAATGAGATCTCGTTATTTTCACTCTACCATTACTAGTTAGCATTGCTTAATCATTACAAAGGTGATCCTCTGTTTAATCTTAATGTTTAAGGTAGATTGCTGTTTTTATGATACAACTTGTATATTTCTTCTGTGCTTGCATCCCTTTCATAGATAGTTCAAGTATTTGTTTGCCATTATGTTATTCCTCTGTAGCTTAAACTTTGTTATGTTTTGTTTTAGGGAATTAACAGCTTATGATTAGGTGCCGATGAAGCTAATATCTGTTGCAATTTGACCATCTGTTTGGTTATCAAAGCCTACTAGGCAGAAGTTTTTCACCGCCAATCAACAGCAGATTGAATTTTGGTAATTTAATCTGCATCAGACTTCCTCTTTTAGTACTATGATCACAGTAAAATAATTGATGTTTTTAACTGCTTTTCATCTTGCCTAAGTAATTCGTTTTATGAGCCAGACTCCTCTAGATCCTGGTACTGTTCCTTTTGGTATTCTGCAGCAATTTAAGTGATGAGTCTAATTACTTGCGACTTTACGAGTAATGTTCTAAATTTTTACTACTCCGTGTCTCCGTATAGTATATACCTACATTCTGAACTGAAACACATTTACATCTTGATGCTTTACGTATGCTTGGTTCTGTCCAATGCACGTGCAGATGGGTTCGTTAATAACGTTTGTTGCACTTGAGATCAAATAATTGGTTGTGTTTGAAACTGTTTTTCACTAAGCCATAACGTCAGATCAGCCTACAATGCTACTGATAGAAGGTCAAATTTTTATGCTGCTGATACTAGTCTGTTTCCCCTTACTGATTTGTTTTGTTTCTGGTTTCTTATTTGCCTAGAGCCTATACTGTTATTCCGGAAAACCTTGAGGAGGCTCCCAAAACAATGATCAAAAGCTCAAAACTTCCATATAATAAGTTATTTTGATCTCTAAAACATGTTTATGCTAGTGTATTACTCAAAAGATTGAAGTAGGAGATCGACTTTGGTAGTATGAAATTTCTATCTATTTTGGGAAGTTTTGTAGGACAAGTCGTATTTCAGAAAGTCCTTCATGAAAACTACAATGATACTCTGATTACAATGTAGAAATAGATGACATCAAAGATGATTTGAGATGTTATAACGAATCGATGCGATGAAACAATTTGGGAACTCACCCTCAACACAATGTAAAATAAATAGCAAAAACACAATAATAAAAGAGACAAGTGTTTATGAGGAAATTTTCAAACCTTATTGTTTTATTAAGTTCCTACAAAATAAGACAATAACCCTCTTGATGATTTTCCTCCTCAATAAATCCTAAATTGATTATATCCCTAAAATCTATCTAATTTCCTAATTACATTCCTCATCAAACTAGGAAAACATAAAAGATAGAAATAAATAAAAGATACATCAAATCTTTTCCCAAAATACTTGTAGAAATATTTGAGTGTGTTGCAAAATGAAAACGAGATTTTCAATTAAACTTTATTCACATTTAATTATGAAAAACTGCTTATGGACAAGATCTCTTATGAAGATTAATGCATGCTTCAGAGTACTTCCTACTCCGTATAATCATTTAAAATATTTCATATTGGTAACAAACGACAAGTGAGTATACCCATCCAAGGTCCTTCAATAAAACAGCTTGGAGAGCAATCAAAAATACTTTTAAGAAGAACTAATTTTTGACCCTGTCCATTATAATGAAAGATAACTTTTAAGTTAAGATTAGGTTGATGCTACTTGCCTAATCCCTAATGTGCAGGAAAGAAAGCAAAAGCCCTTAATCTTCTGTTGTGAAACACATAAATTGGAACTTTAATCAAAACAATGGATAAAAAAAAAGGCGCAAATGAAAGAAACAATATCTGGATTTTAGTATTCAATCAATCAAATAGAACATGAGAGAGTAGGCAAATAGGCAAGCAACTAATCTAAAACTTTTACTTGTAGTACAGAAAACAAGTTTAGCACTTCAGCAATGGAAACTTGACTTGGATTGTGATCTGCATCTCTACGAGTCGAGGCAAATAAAACCAACGTAAAAGATAAAGAAACATAGGATTAGGATCGGAATATGTGGCAAATGAGCCCCATAACCTAAGACTTAAGTGCAAAATAGCCCCCTAAGTACTAATAACAGCAAATTAACCCCACTACTTTTTAAATCGTGCAATTTAACTCCCATTAGATATTTTCCGGTGACATTTAATCTTAATACATAATACAAACCGGAATACAACTACTACGTATTTTTTTCCCCAAATAAATAGTACACGTATATTTTGCTAATATAATTCATGACACCTGTATCCCATTTTTTCCATCTTACCAACTTTTGGTCTACTTCTTCATCAATTCTACATACAACTTTCTCCTTGTACCCACCTTTTCTCATTTTTTCTCTCTCCTTCCAATGACAAATTATCTTCAAATCTAAGTGCAAATTAAAGTATCTAATTTAATGAGAGGAATAATTGGGTTGTTTACGAATCCTATTAGTAGTCAATATTCACTACCACCTTCTACAACTTTCAAAGAATTTCTGTAGAACTTCTAGCACTATCGTATCGCCATATCCATTGTCCATCGGAGCTCCAACCAACATATAGCGCAGCTAGGGACTACAATTACAAAGGTAATACTCATTTGTCAATTACAAAGTTGTTAATCAAGTTCATAGATCTTATTATGAATGTTGTAAGTTTATTTGGTAATTGATTCATACAATTTCATGTCTAAAACTAATTGATTCATACTCATTTGAATAATCTGAATTTCATTGTTTTTTTACAAAAAAAAGTTATTAGGTTTTCCCAATTACATATTATCTTGATGTGTTTCTACAGGTACAATTTAAAATTAGGTTTTAATCATGGTTTATATCATGAGAGAGAAATCAAAGTTACCTGCAGAGGAAGCCATGGAAGAGAGTTGAGATGTTTTGGAGAGCGTTGTGCTTGAACGTGGAGCTGCTGTTCATGTAGTTCACTTTTTTTTTTTTTTTGGATGTATTTTTAATTTCATTATAGGGTTATTGTATGTAAGTTATAGATAACGTACTACAAATATACAAGGGTTGTATCTCAATGGTTTAAGGATAGTATAATGGTAAAATTATAGTGGTATTCCGGCGTAATTAAAATTTTCCGATTATATATGGCCAGAATATACAATGTATGGGCTAATTACACGTTCTCTAAAGGTGCAGGGCTGATTTGCTTCGATTAATTCTAAAGGGGTTGATTTGCACTTAAGTCTTAGGTTATGGGGTTCATTTGCTACAAACGCCGATTAGGATCAAACTATATGTGATAAAGTTTAGTCATTTAGATATGATTCAGATGGTTTTTTTATCTGTAAACAAAGATATGCTCCAATCTAGCCCTAATTATTTTGTGGGTTAAGCATGATAGTTCATTGTACTCCGTAACTATTTTGTGGGTTAAGCATGATTGTTTATTGTACGTGGCCCAGTGTTTTATATTATCAACTCTTGTCTCTACAAAACTAAAACCCTAAACAACTAAAAATCCCTAAGAAGCAACATAAAAGCCTAAAACCCTGGGAAGCAACATAAAACCCTAATATAAGAAGCAGCATTTTGCGTCTCAGAAAAATTAAACCAGCCCCAAAAGAAAATCAAATCAAAGCAAACAAACCAGCCATGCCAAGAAGAAGAGGAGGGCGAAGAAAAGGAAGAAAACCAAGACGAAGGAAAGTGAGACGTCTTCCGAATGATGTATTAACAGACATATTTCACAAATTACCCTGCAATTCCATGGTTCGCTCCAAGTTAGTATGCAAGGAATGGTACTCAATAATCTCTAATCCAGATTTTATGCAGGAGTATTTTAAGCGCATTGGTAAACATTTCATCTTTTTTGAGTTTGTTTCGTATAGGGAATTTAACATTTACGACGTTAATTGCTCTAATCTCATCAACAACAACGACACAGCAATATTATCATCCATACCTCCTTTAGAAGATCCCCGTAAATGGGGGTGTAAAGATGAAAATCTTGAGATAATTGGTTCTTGTAATGGATTAGTTGCATTAGCTAATGGTAATAACTTAATTTTATGGAATCCTATAACTAAACATTACAAGTCTTTTTCGGGGAAATATTGGTTCTTTGAGCCTCGTTGGGAATGGAATTTCAACCCTCGCATTCTACGGGGGACTTTGTTATGATGCTGATCGCCAAGAGTACAGCGTTGTGGTAGCTATAGACTATCAGAGTCCGCCACGAATTTCGATGTTAGTATAGATTGTGAAACTGAACCTGTTTACGTAGTGGATTCCAAATGACAATGAAAACATTAATTAATTATATATTCTCATGTCTCGTAGGATGTATTTTGCTTTGTGATAGAGCTGGCAAGTGGTTGATCGGTCGTTTGAAATAGGATTATCATAATGTTTTAATAATGAGTATATAATGATTATATATGTAGTTCATAATTGACGCATTTTTCTCCAAGTAATTAATTATACATAGTATTTATATTACTTTATTCACTAAGCCATACCGCCAAATTAGCTTACAATGCTACCAATAGAAGGTCAAATTTTTATGTTGTTGATACTAGTCTGTTTCCCTTTTCTGATTTTGTTTTGTGTCTGGTTTCTTATGAGCCTAGAGCCCTAGAGCCTTTACTGATAACCTTGATCGAGGAGGCTCACAAAACAATGTTCAAAAGTTTAAAACTTCCATATAATTAATTATCTTTATTTAAACATTTGAATGATTTCCTAGAAATTGTTTAAATCAAAATTATTTTGTACTTTGTGTTGTTTTAAAAACTTATTCCCTTATGTCCACTTAGGATCGAGATTCTAATTATTTTAATTATTTTTGTAATAAGTAAAACTACTAAAAACAATAGCGGTTTAAACAAAAAAATTGCAATCAACATTGGCGTTTTTATTAATATATAAAATTGCTGACATGTCGTCGTTATTAAGCCCAACCTTTTGTATCCTTCTTCACTTAGTAACTGTTCCGATTTACTGAAAAAAACTTTAAATGAATTGTTTATGAGAGAAGGAAATTAGTAACTGAACTGATTGGAGCGGAGCGGAATTGAACTGAATTAAAATTAAGTTGAACAAAACATGCCCTTAGTTGGTCCTTTATTCCCATATTTCCCACAATCATCACAACCGAAAATTCAAGAACGGAAGACTGGATTGAACAAGCTAGGATCGAACCGAAAGAATCGGTTTAAAACCCGGACCGGACCGCTTTGGACCAATTTAAGAATATTTTAAAAAAGAATACTAAATTTTAATAAAGTTATGGAAAACACGAAAAAAGTAAAGGAAAAATTATATTTTAATGTCATTTTTACGTCTTTTTTTGTATGTTTAGTACAAAAAAACTTATAAAGTTAAAGTTTTCTAAGCTATTAAGGATAATTTTAACCATTATTTAAGGTTCACGCATATTTTTTAATAAAAAATCGGTCTAGTCTAAGACTGGTTTTTATAGGGTTTTGGACCAAACAGAACCGAAGACCGATAAAATGAATTTCAAGACCCGAAGACCGGACCAATTAATTCGGTCCGGTCCGATTTGTGAAATTGCAATTGTAAATGTAAAATCGCTACCATCAATTGTGGTCTATATATGCAAAACCGCTATCAACAATTGCGGTTCTACATTTAAAAATAAAAAAAAAATCTAAAAGTAATATCCGATCTTATGTGAACACTATTCAGGAATAAGGTTATAAAACGACACAAAGTAGGAGTTTTAAACAATGTTTATGAAAATCGTTCTTAAACATGTTTATAATAGTGTATTTAAAAAATCAGATTAAAGTAGGAGATTGACTTTGGTTGTATGAAAATTCAATCTATTTTGGAAAGTTTTGTAGGACAAGTCTGAATTTAGAAAGTCCTTCATGGAAACTACGACGGTACTCTAATTATGATGGAGGAATTCTTATCCTCAACTAAGTTGGGTCCTCTTGGAGATACGATAATCCTCATAATGATGAAGAAAAAGCTAACATTGAAGATGATTTTGACTTATGATCTGAGGAAGCGAGCTGGTCAAATTAAATGTTAATGTCAAAAACCTTTGTTATATGATATAAGCAAACGGGGGTAACGATAGCATAACTCTAGATTTCTAGAGCAAGACTTTAATCCGAACTATTATTGATAGTCAAAGAAGCGTATGTTGAATTTAAGGTGCAATAGAAATAAGGGTTTGTTTATATTTACTGAACTGAGTTGAATTGAACTGCTTGGAATTGAGCTAAACTAAACTGAATAGAGCTAAAATGAATATTTATTAGAGAAAAAAAATTAGAAACTGAGTTGAACTGAACTGAAATTAAGATAAAGTGAACAGACCCTAAGTACTACAATTTGTACCTATCGGAAGTTTTTTTTTTCCCCTGGTGTTTAGAGAGCCACAAAGGCGGGGGTGAGAATTGATCCCAATATCTTCTAAAACTGGGAGGAAAGCACTTATCGGAAGCTTATGGAAGGGCGAGTTAGCCAGTTTTCTAGCCCTAACCAATAAGCGGATCGTACTCCGTAACAAATTTGTGGATTCAAAAATGATGATGATGCTTTGCCAGTATTTTATATCATTAACATATACTAAAAGCGAACCTAAAATGACACTTGTCACAATCTCATTAACAATTTTCCCGCCCATTTTACTTTCCATTTTTACGCAAATTCTTTAAGGAAATCATTTTATAAGAATTTAAAATATCTTTCTTCCAATTAAAATTCTTAACAATAATAATTCTCCATATAAATCCAACTAATATATTTTTACATATAAGTAGTTTTTTTATTTGGTATTATATTTGTAAAAAAATGAGGTAAATTTGATTAAACAATACTGCTATATATTATTTTAGTCTTCGATAATACTATTAACTTTTTTTTTCTTCCAATTTTGTTACTTTTGTAATAATGTTTAATTCAATTAAAAATAAATCATTTTGTGAAGATATATATATACACTTTATTTTCTACTCTTAAAAGTCGTATCAATACTACATTACTAACGCAACATGTGCGGGTACTATCTTAGTATCTTTAGAATTTTTTTTACAAAAAATAAAAGCTTCAAAGAACTCTTTTTTGTAAAAGTCTAAGTGTCACTAATCTTGACATTGATAGAGTTACATATAAAATTAAAGTTATATTTATTTTTGAATTAGTATTATGAGTTTAATTTTTTTTATAAAATTTAATGCAATAACTCTTTATAAAATTTAATAATAACCGTGCATTTGCACGGGACTTAAACTAGTTATTCTATAAAACTAAAACCCTAACACATAAAGCCTAAAATCCCTAAGAAACAACAAAACCCTAAAATAAGAAACAGCAAATTGCGTCTCAGAGAATAAAACAACCCCCAAAGAAAATCAATTCAAAGCAAACCAGCCATGCCAAGAAGAAGAGGAGGGCGAAGAAAAGGAAGAAAGCCAAGACGAAGGAAAGCGAGAGCACGTCTTCCGAATGATGTGTTAACAGACATATTTCACAAATTACCCTTCAATTCCATGGTTCGCTCCAAGTTAGTATGCAAGGAATGGTACTCCATAATCTCTAATCCAGATTTTATGCAGGAGTATTTTAAGCGCATTGGTAAACATTTCATCTTATCTATTTATTATCGTAAATTTAAAATTTACGACGTTAATTGCTCTAATCTCATCAACAACAACAACAACGCAACAATATTATCATCATCTATATCTCCTGTAGAAGATCCCTGTAAATGGGGGTATATTAATGATCTTGAGATAGTAGGTTCTTGTAATGGATTAGTTTCGTTAGCTAATACTAGTAACATAATTTTGTGGAACCCTATAACCAAAAATTACAAGTCTCTTTTGGGGGAATATTGGTTCTTTAAACCTCAATGGGAATGGAGTTACATTCTACGGGGACTTTTTGTTATGATGCTGATTGCGAAGAGTACAGCGTCGTGGTAGCCTATGAAACTCAAACAATTTACGTAGTAGATTGCAAGACGGGTAAAGAACGGAAGCTAAAGAATGCTGCTCTTCCTAACGGACAACTCGACTTTAAACTGTTTAATAGAGAAGCAGGGAAGGTTGTTTGTGGTGTACCTCACTGGGTGGTGAGGTTTCACGATTTTCAGAATTCAAGGGTTCAAGGAGAGATCCTTTACTTTGATAACAAGGAAGAAAAGTTTAAGCAGATGGCTCGGCCAAATCAAGGAGGAGGTGAGGAGAAATATATGCTCGGTCTAGCAACCTTGGAAGGAGAACGACAACTTGGAATCGTGTTACACCATTTGAGCACGTCTTCTCTTGAGGTATGGGTGATGAAGGAGTATGGAGAGCCGGAATCATGGACTAATTTGTTCGTGATTCCATACTTAAGTGATATTGCTAGTTTATTTGGTTTAATGGACGTGCTTGGATTTATGCCCAATGGGGAACTTTTGATTCAAAGCTTGGATATATGGGCTCATGATCTTGAAAATGGCACGTCGAGGATGATACAGATTAGGGATGGGGTCGCACAACCACGTTATGTTGTTGTTGAATATGAACCTAGTTTAATTTCGAACCCTAGATCAGAGAAGGCTAGGAACTCAACACCGAAGACTTGACCGAAAGGAGCTAAAGTGCACAAGTAAAAGATGTGTGCTAGGAAGTAGGAAACACTAAGCTAGCTTGTGACTAGTAAGAATGATATGGAAGTTTCAAGTATGATGTCTTAATTATAGTAGTCAGTTTTTATTTACACCCTCCGTCCCTTAATTATATGCCTATTTCTCTCTATTAAGGACAGGGAGTACAGTATTATTTGAGAACTTTTTTTTTTTTTTTTTTTGGCATTTCTTGATTACAAAATAAATTGAAAATTAGTTTTGCTTATCTTAATGATGTCTTGTATGTGTTTCCAATGATAATGAAGAACATGGATTATATATTCTCATGTCTCGTAAGATGTATATTTTGCTCTGTGATAGAGGTGACAAATATAGCTCACTCGGATATGATTTGATTAGGATCATATTAGTATTCAATCATTTGAGTAAGTTGCTTCAGTTTAGAATAATATAAATTAGTAATATTTGAGTGTGGTTGCAAATGAAAATTGGCTTTTCAATTAAACTTTGGAAAATGCTATATATAAACATTAAATTTACTCTTGAAAATTTTGAAAATTGTAAAAAGTTCAGAAATCATAAAAATATAAACACTAATTACACTGATTTACGCGTGCTTTTGTCATGATTTCCTAATTTTATACAATTTTCAAGGGTGAATTTAATGCTTATATATAGCCCTTAAGGCTACATATAGCATTACCCTTAAACTTTAGTCGCATTTAATTATGACAAAAAGCTAATGGACAGGACTTCTTAAGGAAATTAATGTCTGCGGAGTACTCTGTATAATCATTTACATCATATTGGTCACGATGAAACGACTTGAAGATCAATAAAACGGCTTGAAGATCAATCGGTAAAAACTTTTAAAAAAAGAACTTATTTTAAACCTTGTTCATTAAAATTAAAGATAAGTTTTAGTTAAGATTAGGTTGATGCTACTTGCCTAATCCCTAATGTGCAGGGAAGAAAGCAAGTACCCTCTTCTGTTGTGAAACACATAAATTGGAACTTTAATCAAAACAATAGAAAATAGATAAAAAGAAGGCGCAAAATGAAAGAAACAATATCTGGATTTCTTGCATCTTTTTAGACGAAACAGCAGTGGAATACCTTTTTGAAAGCACATTTGATACCTTATCTTAAGATATACCATACTTTAGATTCACTAACCTTGCTTGTTACTCTTTTTTTATTTCATGATTATGCACGTAAGAAAACTTTGGTTGTAAATTGCAATTAGCATACATAAGACGTATTAAATTCTAAAGCTCACCAGCTTAGTGGAACAACTTTAAACCATCTTTTGGCATCATAAAGTTGGACGCCAAGCCGAGCCGCCTATTTACGTTTCATATTAATCTATTTCGCTACATTTAGCCTGATCAAGTTATAAAATCTCAATTCCGAATAATTAAGTACATGTATAGAGTATAGACTAACGTTAGATTTTATTTATCCGAATGAGCCACAAGGACGTATAGACTATTGTGGAGTGGGAACAAACTTTTATATCCAAATTAATCAAATAGAAAATGAGAAAGTAGACAAATAGGCAAGCAACTTATCTAAAACCTTTACTTGTAGTACAGAAAACAAGTTTAGCACTTCAGCAATGAAAACTTGACTTGGATTGTGATCTGCATCTTTACGAGTTGAGGCGAATAAAGCTAACGTATAAGAAAAAGAAACATAGGAGTAACATCAAACTAGAAGGGCCTGTTCCGATTGACTGAACTCAGCTGAGCTGAACTGAGCTGAACTGAACTTATTAATTAGTGATTGTTAACTACGGATTAGTGATCTTTGATTATTTATTGATTATTTATTGATATTTATTACTATACATATGTGTATATACAAATGTACATATTAAAATATTTACGAAAAATATACTATATAATTATAATTATAAAATGTATGGAAAATATATTATAAAATGTATGGAAAATATATTAAAAACTTAAAACCTCTAAACATTTTAAACACATATACTATTTAATTTAAAAATAAAATAGTATTAGGACAAAAGAACACAAAACACTTATGTATCTAACCCATTTAAACAAATTTTAAATAAAATAATATAAAAAAAAATTAAAAAAAAATAAAAAAAAAACCAACAAGAAAAGCTAAAATTTGCTACGGCCCAACACCCTAACCCACTCTCTTTTATTATTTTTGTTGTTGTTGTCGTTGTAATAAGAGTTTAAAAGAATGAAATTTGGCTTTATATCAATAGCAATATCATTAGACATAAATTAAGAGCTGAGTTGAACTGAACTGAATTGAATTTCAACGGAACAGAACAGGCCCTAAGTGATGAAGTTAAGTCATATAGATATGATTCAGATGTTTTTTTTTTTTTTTATCTGTAAACAAAGATATGCTCCAATCATTCATAAAGTGCAACAAGTGCTTTTCTATCTATCCTAGGGACAACCATGAGAGAAAAATATAGTTGCTCTCCCTTTTCACAACTTTTTGAACCCAGGTAAAAGATGTGTGTGACTCCTATTTTAAGCTGTTTGGAGCATCTTCTTACCAGCCCTTGGGTCACAATAAAGCAAAAAGATCTTCCTATAACTTCTGCAGACAGAAAAATTCGCACTAGAAAAGGTCAAGAAATTTGAAACGAGATTCGATTGGGTTGATGTTTAAGTTCGCTTGATACACACAGAATTGATTAATCGGAAAATGACCCTAAGCACTCTGTTATATACAGCACTCCCATCCGAAACAATCAATATTGCCCCCACAACCTCACTTCCTTAGCTAAAAAGTACTCCCATCCGAAACTATCACTAAACTCCTAGGTGAGATCGTCTCACATTAATTTCTTGTGAGACTTACAGCTATCCAATAAGAAAAGTAAAAAGAGAAAGCCAATTTGGTCTCATTAATCATTATAAGCTATTGCAAGATCAGCAATAAAATGTTATGCTATGGTTCTAATAAAACAAGCCTTCTTACTCCATATTTTGATTCTAATAGAACCGTTTGCTATGCTAACAGTCTCTTAGAAGTTAGAACCTTTACAGATCATGTTGCAAATCTTGTAAACCAAGTCAATAGTTTCAGAAGCAACCTCTCTACTAGTCTCGACTAATTTGGAGTTAAGTTGCATTCACCTATACTAAGATTACTAACCCAGCAAAACGGTGGGACCTATACAAGGTTCTCTGCTGTTGTGACCATGTGAACAGGGATAGAATGACATAGAGATATAACTGAAGGAAGTTGCAATGTACACATGCATCTCTAATCAGACTTCTTACAGTGGTTTAGTAAAGGACAGGGCTTATTGACTGATTCTTTCTTCTCATGTTTTACGGTTTTTGTAGAGCAACTATTGCACATCTTACCATGTGTAAATAGAAGGCAGTTCAGATCAAATTTCAGTTCATTTGGAATTCTACGGTTTAGGTGAAGATACGTCTTCTTCGCATCAGCTCCTTCTGGTACCCAACACCAAGAGTAGTTGCTATCTGCAAAATCTGGATTTATAATTCGGTTTTAGAGGATTTTTCAAACATGTGAGTCTTTTCACCAGCACAAAAAACTTAAAACTTACATGTGTGTCAACTGGAAAGTCATCTAGCTGTAAATGGAACATGAGAACACAAGCTACCTGAAACCAATTACCAAATTATCACAAAGCCATAAAGAATAACAGAAGTTTATCTATTCTACTCATAATTTACCAAAAGACGTCATTAATGAAAAGGACTCAAACACCAGGAAGCTTATAAGTAATACGCAATTGACAGAAATAGGCACATATCTATGTTTTCGGATTATTAGGCACTATTCCCATATCCACATTTTCTTTTAACCACACATCCTGCAAAATTGCCTAACAAACAGCTAGTAACAAAAACTAGACACATAACACAATGTATTCCTCCTGCATGACATAGCATCTCACAATGCAAATAACATGTACAGATCACATATGCAATGAAACATAAAACAATACTCACAGTTTTAGGTCCAATTCCTTTGAAAGAGGAGAGCTCGGACTTGATTTCGTCTATTGACAAATCCCGCAAGAATTCCAAGCATAACTTCCCACTCCTCTCCTTGAGGCAACTCAGAATGTTTCTAATGCAGGAAGCTTTAGTTGGAGCTAAACCTCCGCATCTGATGGCATTCTCCAACAAATTTTGTTCAGCAGCAAGAACCTAATATTAATACATAAGTTACTAACAGATTACACAGACACCTAACAGAAGGAATAGGATTTCAAAACTCGCGAATCTCAGCAAAAAAAAAACTGATACACCAGTACACCACCAGCTATTAGCTACCACTCATCATAAACTCAACAGCTTTCATTCCTTCAGAATGGTTACTGATAAAAGGAACAATGACATTGCACATTTGCACCAACTTAAAACTAAAACCTTATCACAGAACCTTCAGTAGTATTGTATATGTGTCATTGAGCAATTTGAACCTAAATAATTCCCCATTAAACAAAATATAGCAGAGAACATTTAAATAACATCTTCATTCTTAATTTAACATGCATGACTTTTGCACATTCCAAAGTATACTTTCTAAACCAAGATAAAATCAAAAACCTGAGTTTTCCCACCAGAAAACAGTACAATCAACACCCACAAAAGACTGAGAACCCCCTTCCCATTTGTATTCAACAATTAAACCATAAATCTTAAAATAAAATTGAATAAAATTCTGAAAATTAATGCAAACTTACAAGTTCCCAAGTGGGAAATGCAGCTTTAAGAGAAGCAAAAGCCTTTTGAGAATTAACATCAGCAGTATTCTGGGAAAGAACAATGCTCACTAAACCATCCAAAACGCTTAATTTCTCAGCTGAAACCTCTGATTTCACTGACCCATTAATCAAATTTGAAGAATTAGGTTCTGGGTTTTCTCTCTCCTCGCGATACTTGGCGAATTCTTCAGGAAATCCTTGAAATTTCAATAGTTCATCTCTAATGGCTAAACAATCTTCTGGGGTTGGTCTTAGGTGAGATGGGTATGGTTCAATTGCATCTAATTTTGGGTTTTTCTTGGTTTTATTTGATTTGATTTTCGTAATTGTGATTTCTGAATGTTGTTTGTTGTTTTTGGAAGAAATTAGCTTCCTTTTTCTGGCGTTCTGCATTTTTTTCAGCCAGGTATAGATTTGCAATTGAGAAGGAGATTTTAAAAAATTAGCTAGATTAGAGATTTACTTATTGTCTATTGTATTTACACTTAATTTTGCCCCTTTCTTAATTTTCTCCCTATTTTTTCTTGGTCTAAAACATACATTTTGTTGGTTGGTACTTTCCACTAGAAAGTGATTGCAAAAAGTAATCTAACTAGACATTGGCTAATTATTTATAAGTTTGATAGACAATTATTGTTTGTCAAGATGATAAACTCGTATTTTCTCTAAGCACACACAATCTATCAAATAAGGTCTTGGCTTAATGGTGAAGATTTAAAATTGGGAGTTTGTGTACGATAGGTAGCAAGCTTAATTCTCTTGGTCCTCATTGTATATGATTATCATTGTACAACGCAAATCTATTTTAAGCTCACGAGTTTAAAAGATACACGAGGTCAAGGAAGAAATTAATTAACTACTAAGGATTTTGATTGTGCAACACAAGACCATTTTAGTTCATATATCAACTCAAGAGATTTGTAGCAAAGAATTAACATTGGTTATAGACCTTATAGTGTTATACCATAGAAGTTTCCTTTTTAGACCCTCTTGAGCATATTGTAGAGCTAACATTGATTATACCATGCATTAACATTGGTCTCCCGAGTCACCTTTTTTTTAGATCCTCTTGAGCCACCACTTGAGCAACATTGTACCGCAGTATGCTTCTAAAGAAAAGGGAAGAAATTTCCTTTAAATTTTCTAAAGCTTTTATTCCAACAAAACACTTCCCTCCAAAAATAAACAAACAAACAAACAAAAACTTAACCAGTGAAAATGACGATCTACATTGTCAAAAAGTGGTGGTTGTTGGTAGAGTAGTTGTTAATAATATAGTGATTTCTTGACAATGTATAACATTTCCTAAACCAACCCCAAACTGTATGTTGGGGTCACAAACTACATTATAATTTCATGCTAAAAAGGTAGCTATCATTATTAATGCACATTACTTGGTTTAAGATGGAATTAAAGAAAGTGGCTTATCCTGATTCCTATTTTTAGTTGATCTCATGCGCATAGTTTTACTTGCGTGGTTCAAATGTTCAATTCATGCATAGAGGAAGCACATGAAAATGGCCAAGAAAAGTAAAGTTGCTTAATTATTAATCCCACAATTTCCACTCATTAATTGATGTACAAATATGAAGTAGCTCACACAACTAACCCACAACGGTTAACGGTAGACCTGGTTATTGGGCGGGTCGGGTCACGGTCGGTGCGGGTCGGTTGTGGGTCAGGGTCAAAGAGGGTCACATTTTATAGGGTCAATATAGGGTAGGGACAATGCGGGCCGCGAGTCGATAATGGACGGGCCTACAAAATATCAATTAAAATAAATATATTGGATAAAGCCATTATTAAATACATATGAATACAAATTAATCTATATAATTATTTTTACATTATGTATTTTCTTTATCAACTAAGGGCATGTTCATATTTACTGAACTGAGCTGACTGAACTGAACTGAACTGATTGGAGCTGAACTGAACTGAACTGAAAAATTAAAATGCATAAAATTGAACTGAACTGAACTGAACTGATTAGAGCTGAACTGAACCGAACAGAACTGATTGGAGCTGAACTGAACTGAAAATAAGTAAATATGAACAGGTCCTAAATTGGAAAAACATGTTGGCCTATATTGACTCTACCCAATAAGGGCTCTGTGCATTAAAAGCCCTATAAGTTTAGCCCTGACCGTATTATCATTGGATTATCCTGTCCAATAACCACCTCTAGTTAACGAGTATTGTGTTATGCAAAGCGTAACGAGATACTAGTACTTAGGATACGTGATGTTGTAGACTTGTAGTACGGTAAAGACTGTAATAATGTAATGTAGATCGAGTTGGTCCTATGCGATTATAGTTATTTTAAATAAAAGAATATATATATAATGTGGTTTTATTTTTATTTATTATACTTCGTATTAAATTAAAATGTGTTGTGCTTCATAATTAAGCATTGTTATTGTAAGATAAATTATAAAAGTATTTATAATAATGACATTCGTAGGCCTACCACGTCAAAATTTATTATCATTCACATATAGCATCATACTTCCTATATAGAAAACAATTTGGAATTATCCCATAAAAGATGGAACGAAATCTTCAATGAAGATAACATCTGATATTATTAAAAATTATTCAGCATTCTACTTCAATAAATAAAAAATCAAATTACAAATTACATATCAGTATATCACTGTCTTGAAATTTATTCAATAAGTCTTCCCAATTTATAAATAATACAGTCAATATCATATAAATTCAATACTGCTGCGAGTAATAATTAAAGTATTAAAGTCCTGTAGTCCACTTTGCTGGATGTAACAACTTCTCATTAGTTAATCTTAATGGAAAATATATTAATAGTGCATCATAAAATTATATAGAAAGGGTTGAAAAAAATGGCAGTGACATAAAAAGATCTAGTTACACCAATGAGAACGAGGAACCTTAACATTTAAGAAATCAGATTTCTTCTTTCAATGTCTACTTTGTGGTCATAACCTCATTCCCCTGCTACTTCTATCTAGTTTGTAGTACTCCATATTTATTTTATAGCTGCCAAAAGAGAAATTTAAAAGTTATTTTATTCAACGACTTTAGTTACACGTACATTTTGTTACGCTACCTTCACTAGTGATTAGAGTATAGGGTAATTTGAATTCGAGTCAGGTCATATGCTACATCCTAATTTAAGGAAAACTAAACACGTTATTTGAACACAACTACGAACTACCTTATTGAGCCAAAATAATATGACGCATAAAATAATACAATTACAATAAGCACAAACATTCCATAACAGAGACAAAATGATGCATGAGAATAATAGTGAGATTGTGAGAAGAATAAAACGTGTTTAAAGAGACTTTCCAAAACCATCCATATTTCCAAAATGTAACACTAATTATTTACATAATCCACAAGTATTTATAGAGAGAATCCACAATAAATATAAATTAAATTCCCCAAATTAACAAAAACCCTTGACCAACATCCAGCAAATAATAATTACATCCTGTACCTAAATTTAATACCCAAAAAGATAATTAATCAAATACCAAATACTACTTCCGTTACAGGTTGCACATTTTCCCTATCTGTTTTATGTCAAATCGTTGCACATAACCTGTAACGAAGGTAGTAAACAAAAGTCAAATAGTCAAAACTCAGCTGTTTTACCACAACCAGGACCATCACCAACTCGGTTCCGAGCCCGACTCAGCCCACCACCACCACCATCCGACTCAAGAATCGCCTCCCAATCAATACTCTCCCCTACCTTCAGCACAACCATTATCCGCCTCGCTTTCTCCTTCGCTCGCTCGCTACCGTCCTCCTCCACCTCCTTCAACACCTCCATCACCCTCGCCTCCTTCGCTAGCGCCTTGAACCTCATACTCCCGTGACTCAGCGCGTACAACGCGGCAACACAGTTCTCCCGAGTTGACTCGGACTCGAACTCCCCCTTCCCCTTTTTCAACATCCACACCAAATGCGCCACCGCATTCCCGTCCAACATCGCCGCCTTCCCCTCCGCACTCGCCGCTAACTGATACAGCACCAGCAGCACTCTCCCGGCGATCGACTCCTTCTCCTGCCGGAGCACCGCCAACAGCGGCGGCACCGCGTTGAATTGCTTCACGAGTTTCACTCTATTGCTATGATCAAGAGAGAGATTATACAGCGCTAAAGCTGCGTCACTCCGAGTTCGCTCCGATTCCGACCTTAACAAGCAGTTCAACAATGGCGGCAAAGCGCCGAGAACTCCTATTGCTGTTCGATTCTTCTCTTCTAATGAGAGAGAAAATATCAACCCTGCCGCGTGTTCCTGCGCCTCCGATAATCTCCCTCGTAACAACTGAATCACCGTCGGAGCGATTCCTGACCGTACGATCTTCACCTTGTTCGTCTTCTCAAGCGAGAGGTTTACCAGCGCAGCAATGGCATTTATCTGAACTTTCTCGTAGCTCGAGAAAAGCAACGATCCAAGCGCAAGCAACAAACGTGGCGTACACGCTGATTTCCGCGCTTCTTCATCATTTCTCGTCGCTTTTCTCAGCGAAATCGCACCTTGTTCCTGTTCATACGGATCACAACTCTTGAATTTCGCGATGAATTCCTCGTCATCGGAGATATCAAAGCTAGGGTTAGGGTTCATCGCATCGTCGGAAACTAGAGTTTCCGACGACGAAGTATGAAACGGCGACCAACACGAAGCAGGCCGAGTTGTGAACGGCAACGGCGTAAGCGGACTCGCCGCCGCAATCACCGACTCCTCCGAACTCGTCGACGAGTCAAACCGGTTAACCCGGTGAGTCAACTCGGTTACAGCGTGAGAAGCGTCTGGGTCAGCCTTATCCTTTACCGACTCAATGAGAAACCTTTCCGACGGCCGAATCAAGTCGTTTTCTCTCTCCTCTTTCTCAATCATCTCCTTCACAATCTTCTCAATTGCAACCTTATCATTCTCCTGCGGCAAAGCGACGCCGTTTTTGGAGCACCAAGCAGGGATAGCAGAGCGCAGGGCCAAATTGGGGATTTTGGTGGAGAAATCGGGTCGGGTTTTATCTGGGAATTCGGGTTTATAGTTATGGGTTTCGCAAACCTCGGCACAAAGACGGTCGACGGTGTGACCCGACCCGACAACAACCGGGTCGGAGAAGAGGGAATTACAAATGGGGCAAATATACTCCGGTGGGGGTGTGGAAGAACGTGAAGGTGAGTTTCTGTGAAATGAAAATTTTAATTTGAGGAATTTGCCATTACCCTTTCCCCCCATTTTTATAATTGATTGAATTCGATTGGTTTTAATATATGTTTTTCATTTGGGATGAGAGAGAGAGTGAAGAAGAAGGAGGAGAGAGAAAGAGAGGAAGATATTGAGGAGGTTGAAGAAGAGACTGAGTCGTAGGAAGAGAAGATGTAGTTTAGTATTCAGTCGAGATGACTCAAGGAAGAGTGATGAATGAATGATGATGATGAGGTTTTGAGGTGAGAGTGAGACAAGAGAAGGGAGGGAGAACTAGAGAAGTATGGGAAGCAACTACTTTTCTTTTCTATTTTTTTTTTTTAAAAAAAAATT